TGACCTTGACCTGACCTTCGCTACGCAACCCAAGGTCAAACTGATGTGATCAGTAAATACATCTTTTTAAACGCCACAACTTTTGTCTGAAACATTTTTTTGTAAAACTTATATTTTTCCTGATATTCGGGCGTCCCGGTACTTTCCGAACACCCTGTATATAATGCAGTGCAGAATTAAAAGAATAAAACTGTATATTTCATTTATCTTGATATAAAATTGATATTTATAATATTTTATGCTGTGTATAAATAATCACAGCAATTGCTCTTATCCTGTTTTCATTCTACTGTCACATGAAAGTCTCGGCCTAACCACCGTTACGACCAGACGTGTTCGAACAAGTTCGGACCTTAAGATTTTTGGAACGTGCCTTGGAATCTTCCTGGGCTTTATATCACGATATCGTTCTTTCAAACAACTTAGTTGATTCTTATTAATTTTTATTCTTATATTAACTTGGAGTGGTGTTGGGGGGATATGCTTTGAGAATCCCTATATCTGTATACCATATAATGAGAAAGAGTGAGAGATATTGTCACATGAAAAAGGTTAGGTTGCTATGACGGGTGCAGTTCTTGGATAAGGTTTAGTTCTGTAAATAGTTCTATTTAGTGCTGTAAGTGCTTCAGAGCGACGAATTGATCAATCATATTGCTTTATTTAATGTTTTAAAATATTTGCAGTGTTAAACGAACTCTTCTTCTTGACAGTTAATAATATAGAATGAGAAAGTACTAGGGGCAAATCAAGGTTGCGTTCCGTTTCACGCATTATGCGCGCATTACCTACAATATATGTAACATGAACTATAGATAAATGCGCGCATATGCGTAAAACGGAACGCAGCCCAACTTTCTCGCTCTGTCTTGAACTGCCAACTTTCGGCTTCACTTTGCGGACAGAATGCTTGGCGTTTTTTCGTTTTGTAACCACGGTAGCGTTTGGTTGGTTAGTTTGGTCCACTTAACGCTCGCAACGCCGCGAGGGTCATTCTATCTTTGTTGCTCGAGGCGTTGCGAGCGTTAAGTGGACCAAACCAACCACCAAACAGTATCATGGTCACGAAACGAAAAAACGCCTTATGGCTTCTGCACACAGGACTCGGTAAAACTTGCCGCGCGACGGAAGTTCGCACGATAGCCAATCAATATGCTGCTTTCCGTAATAACCTTCTAGCTCTTACGGAAAAACAACTTATTGATTGGCTATCGCGCAAACTTCCGCCGCACGGCAAGCATTACCGCGTCCTGTGTGCAGGAGCCAGTAGGGTGCTATTTCACGTGTCGTACGACAAGCTTTTCGGTTACGTTTATTGGTTGGTAAATAGAGTATTTTTAGGTTTTCTGTTCGTCAACCAATGAACGTATCCAAAAAGCTTGTCGTACGACACGTAAAATATCAGCCGTATTCAGGATTCACACCGCGTCCGATGTCCGACGTACGACGTCCGATATCCAATAAGAGAACAGCTTTCTAAAGAATTCAATTCTCCATTGAAACGCTGCTCTCCTCCGTCAGGCTTTTCTCTGCTAAGATGTATTTGGCTAATCATATACAATTGAATAACGCGTAAGAACATTCTTTTACCTGTGTATGTATTGTTCTTAATAAATAAGAACAAAATATAATTTTACGACAAGTAAAACATACCTTTTCTTATTTTCAAGTAGTACGACTCAACAACCGGTGAAACGCCAGTTCCAATTCGCAGTGGGCAGTGCGCAGGTGCATGTGTCATTCGCGTGTCACTTTCGACACAGTCAAGTGTGGTGGTCTGTCAGTTCAGGAATCTTCATCATCCAACTAAATTGTCGGTGTAATGGCACACGTCACAATCTGTCCAGTGTGAATTCGTAAGAAATCTCGAGGCAATGGCCACCGCGAACGACGAGGTGCAACCTCTGGTGCAACCCGCTGCGGACGCCAAGTCGTCGCCAATAGCCGAGAATCATAACCACAACAACAAGATTCGCAAGAGGATCGTGACCGCGGAATCCGGTGAGAAATTCGCAGCGACGGATATAAATTTCGTGAGCAAAGACAATGGTGTGATTGAGTCACGCGATAGTGTAGCGCTGGTGACGCTGTCCGATTCTACGAAAGCGTGGTATGACGATGACGCGCCGCGAATACCTGACATCGCTGACGTGGTCGTATCCGATAAACAAAACAAGGTGTCGATTCGTGACGGAAACGATCACGATTCGGATGACAGCGATGGAACTGTGACCGAGACGGACGGTCTGCTAATGAGTCGCGAGAAGACCAAAATAAGCGTTATCCGCGGCAGCATTGCCAATCCGAATCTCACCCTGGGTGAGCTGAGACGACTCGGCTGCAGCAGCGAAGGCTTCGTTACTGGTACTTTTACGAGGATGACAGTACGTTATGATCAACAAGGAACCTTACAATGATTTCGTTTCGGGCTATTGACGAGAGATCTGGGAAAACTGTGAAACGTGAATGCAAAGAGCTCCCTAGACTCCTTTGATTGAATTTAATCGCGTCACACGTCATCTCTTAACCGTGTGTAATAATCGTATTTTGATGCTGCCATGTTGTGAATGTAAAAATTGTTGCTTTAATAGTGTGTAATTGTGATCATATGTATATCGTAACATATGACAGACTTTCTAACTTCGCAAGATGACTTTTAAGACTTTAGGTTTGTTCTTTTCAGCTGCATTGCTGATGCAATAAGTTAGAATGAAACAAATATATGTTATCTTACTTTAACTTATTGCAGCAGTGCAACTGAAAAGAACAGACTAATTATTACATGTTCTAATATAATGTAATTGTATGGGCATAAGAGTTATGCAAGTGACTGTATGTAATAATGATTATATTCAATTGAATAGATAACAGATTGATGTTGCAAAGTGTGGTTATACAAGTTTTATTATTCTTTTTATGATTTGAAACAATTTTAACTTCTATATTTGTATTATAAGCGCATCAAAATACATGATACCGTTAAATTTTATTAAAATCTGTAGAGAGTACACACACACAATGTTTTGTGATATACATTGTTTAATCCAACAAAATGGTTCCTTCTTGAGAATAACTTTATTTTGTATAACTAAGTCTTGAAATCATAAAGATGATCTGTAGATGATATACGAAGGGTTCTGTGGCCAAGACTCTTGAGACTAGTGCAAGAGGAATTTATACCAGTCAATGGATTAGAAACTATACATACTTGTATACCAAACGAAGTATATCAACAGATATTGAAAGATGTAGCACGTAGCGGCAGCCACATCTCACAGAATGCAACAGAAGAAGAAACTGAGAGTTTTCAAGAACAGCTGACACAACTGATGTGTTGGGTACTTCACAGGCATTCCCGATTAAAGTTAGTATTTTCAAGCACTAATAGTGTGCATTTTATTCATTATATAAAACAATAAATTGTATATTATGAATTATAATTATATAATTCTATGAAATTATATATAATTATTAATTATGTCTGTCTTATTGTAATACAAAATAAAATAATGCATACTTAGTTACTACCAGGGATACAATGATGTAGCAGCGACTGTATTACTTGTGATGGGATTACAAGCAGGCTTGTATGTGCTTGAAAGAATATCACTAGCATTCTTAGAAAGATTCATGGAAGAAACCATGGAAAAAGTTAATCAGGAATTATTTTACATATTTGCGTTGTTGGAGCGAGTACATCCAAATTTACTGGAACATTTAGAGAAGTTAGTTGCTATTATATATGGTAACACAATAAATTTTTCTATACTATTCATACAGAATATTACCTATGAATTCTATGAAAATTGAATTTTTTTTTTTTTATTTTGTACATTCAGTGAGTTTATCAGGGAAGGTCAGTAAGTTTAAGGTATATTAATAGCAACATTTCTGTTTATTTTAGTGTAGAATTGTTCCCACATTTTGCCCTGGCTGAATACACAACATGGTATGCACACAAGTATGCGGAAAATAGAAAGTTATTACACAGATTATTTGATTATTTTCTTGGCAGTCCTCCCCTTATGCCTCTCTATTTAAGTACAGTAATTGTTGCACATAGAGCCACTGAAATTTTCAATACTACTCCTGATATGGGACACACACATAAAGTATTATGCACAGTAAGTATGATCATAAAAGAAATTATTACCTGTGCATAATAGAACATTTAATAAAATTATTCTGAATCTATGTTTCTCTTCAGTTACCTGATGACTTGCCATTTGAAACACTTTTGATGGAAGCAAGCAACTTGTATCGACAATACCCTCCCGAATCTATCAGTAACGACGTCAAGGATTATGATCACAAAAGGAAAATTAAGGAGCAAGAATGGAAGGCGTTAGCAGAAGCAAGTCGTCAAGAGAGGGAAAGACAACGAAAGTTAAAAGTTGCTCTGTCGAAACCACGAATATCTTATCGTATCAAAAGTTACAAAACTATCACTGTTGTGACCATTTTAGCTTTGGGATTATACGCTTTCATAAAAACCTCGGGAATCAACTGACGTTAAGAGAAATCTTTCACTAATCGTGAAAGTAAAATTTTTAACATTTTTTGTAAAGTTAAAACCTTGGCACATCTTTGATATGTCACTGAGAGAAGATTTAAAAATGTTAAGTCATTCAGTAAGCAAACTTTACCAAAGTAATGGACGCGAATGAAATATGTGTTGCTAGGAATATAATTGAATGGTTTGGTTATCGATGTTTGAGCAAATCTGTTCCAGAAGATGTGAGTCAGAACTTTGTGCATTCCTATGCTGCCTTTATGCTGTGTTCTTTGGAGGTTGACTTGAATTTTTTGTGGATATATTTATGTTAACCTTTACACTGCGGAGAATTCGGACACAGAATGCACAGTTTATGCGATAGACTTTTAATACATAGCCGAGATTGTGTACAAATATACTTTTCTTATTACAAAAAGGTCAAGAGTCTGTAGATATCGAATGCGTATCATGAGTGATATTTGCTGAGTGTCCATAGAAATATGTGTATCTATAAACGATTTTTCTTAAACGCTTATAGATGCTGATAGCAGTGAAAGGGTTAAAAAATTAAGAGAATCACAAATATATGCAAGTTTGTAGAAATGCAGCAATTTTAAATACTCAAAAATTGCTACAAGTTCGAATATGAAATTAAGGTGTTGAATAACTTTGAATAAGATATGTGAGAAAATTTCATATACGTAATATGTGTATATAAGTTAAAATTGCATTGATGAAAGGACTTTATGTATTTGTTACAATTCCTGTGATGAAAGGACTTTATGTATTTAATTAAACCTGAAAAGAAAAATTAGAGCAATTAATCATTACAATCGTTAATAAAAGTGAATTGTTTTTAACAATATTTATTTATTACCACCTTTTATAACTTCTTTTTATTTATAATAATTTACATATTTTCATCTTAAAAATATTTAGTTACACATAGTTTGGCTGTACAATAGTTACCAGTATTGATATCTCTATTAGTTACCAATATTAATATCAATGCTTGTAAATTTTGCACTTAATATTTGTGGTTCGTCGTTTTGTACATAAATATAATTCTATAGGAACACCTTTTAGTATATACTCTCTTATATATTTTATTATGATTCCATATTCTTCGATTTATTTATACAAAGATATGCAATTGTATATTTAAATATCAAGATATTAGAATCATATATAATGAAAGTTTCTATCCTTTTATTTTTTAAATTATTCTATATTGTTAAAATTGTTCATCTCACTAATTAGGAATTATCGTAAGAATATGGAATATATGTTTACAATAGAAAGAAATTTATGACTTGTAAACTGTGAAATTGGGATTTTAATATTATTATTATAATTGTGTGATGTATTACCACTATAAAATATTGTACAGCATAAAACTATTTCCTATGAAATATTACTACTTTATAGAATAAATTACTAGTCATGTTCAGTGATCACTTTTTGTTTTATATGAGATCAAGCAGTTAATGAAACATAAAAATTAGTGATGTGTGTATATATGTATATATATATATATATACTAAATATGAAAAACTAAGGAGAAAATAATATTATAAATACTTATATAATCAATATGGCCAGTCAATAAGCAAATATTAACATTTACAAAATGTTTTTTGCAACTGCACTACTTTATAATCCAATTGATATTTGTCGGTATGTTGTTGTGTAATGTGATATATTTTAATGAACTATATAGTTAATAAAAATATATTTTTAATTACGATATTATATTTTCAATCGACGAGTGATTAAAATCCATGAAATTACTTATTTTTTATGATACATTATTTTTGTTTTGTTAAATATTACTTTATTCTAAAATTGCGAAATAAAGAATTTTAAACTTATAACGTTACTTGATATATACTTTTTTATATTTTACCATGCAATTGTTTTCATTAAAAATTATATCAGACTTTTAAAACCGTTTTGATGTATGTTAAGATACTGGGATCTTTTAAAATTTTAATATGATCTACTTTCGGGAAATCTTTAGTGTAAATTTTCTGTTTCTGTGATTTCTGCCACAGTTTGCATGCTTCTAGACTCCTTATGTTTACAGTTCCATCTCCATCTCCAAAAATTAATTGAGGATAACCATCTATTGCTACACCTGGCTTATAATACAACCTGTACAGAAATAATCAATTTTGAAGACTCTTATAATGTTAGTGTATACTTAAATTTAAAAGCTCTCTATGTTGCTTAAAAAATAATATACAAACTTTTCCACAGTATCCACTTTGCTGCCATATAAACAATGTACTTCTACACCTGGTGCTGTAAAATCCAATTGATACTTCTCGTTATCCTTCCTGAATTCCCAAGCATTAGGAACACCTATATCTCTGTGAGATAAAAATATTTGTTAGTGGAAAAAGAAGAAACGGATTTACAGTAGAGGTAATAATTATGTAAATGATCTATCATACATTAAATACTGCTGCAAATTACTCATGGTGTAATTTTTTTGTTCCGATTGCACCAAAATTTCAGTATCTTTCCAAAATAATTTTGAGGGTAACAACCATCCTAAACTTGGACTTGTTATCTGTTCATTTTTTAATGTACTTTCACTCAGAAAATATGCACCTAAATTATCTCCTGTATTGAATGTAACATTAATTATATTTTACAATTAAAAATAACAGCAGAAAATTTCCTTTTTTTTTTAATGCCATACTTTGGATATTTTGGATTCACTTATCAAACATCCAAAATAAAGTAGATAACACATGTTTCTTATAAAGACAACAATAGTTTTAAATGGAATGTAATATAGATAACACTGTCGTTTTAAAGAGAGTGCTAGTTTTAAATGATTCTAGATACTTACCAATAGCAAAGACTTTGACAGCTTTCATAGATCCTGCCCATACTGCACTAAGTGTGATAAAGCTATTGATATATTTATCCTTCCATTTCTGACTCTGACGTTGCAACATTATTAGAGTCATAGGTCCACCCATACTGTGAGCCACTAATGTAACTGGCACATTATTATTCATTATATATGTTTCTTCGACTAGAGTTTTCAGGTCACTAAAGAATTGCTCATTCTCACCTGAAATTCAGTCTTTATTTCGGTAAATTTGTAATATAATCCCTTAAAATATATATTGTCAAGTACTGTAAATATAAAATGTCTGAGACATTTATTAGTCTCCCTTCTTTGTACATACTAGGTCCTTTTCTAAAATCATAAGGTGCACCACGTAGTGATAGGTTTCTGACGTATCCTAACTCATTTACCAACATATTTCCAATATCTTTGTAGTATGAGCCTGGTGAGGCTTTACTTGGATCTATGTATTCAACTACAAAAGGATCACCCCATCCTGGTATCTTTATATCCACTCCAGGCTGATTACTAGTAGTTCTCGTTACATTGTCATAATTTAACTTTAAATTATCAATCTGTAATAAATCAGACTTTAGCATTAGGTTATTGAGAGAAACAGGAAACCAAGAATGCAGATGCAAGACAGATTAAAGATCGTACAAAGCAATCTATCACAACAGGTACAAGCAGTTCCATGTTTAACCAAAGGTTAAAATAATCAGAAGATATTTTTTCACAGATGTAGTGTACCACTGATGGTTTGTTAATCTTTGCCTCAACCTGACTGCCGCCATCACCTGGAACTGTATCATTTTTGCTTTTGTAAACAGTCTCTTTCTTCTCAATTGCATCTCTCAATAAATAATATTTTTAATTCTTATCTTTACAGATTCGTATTTGCATAATTAAGAAAAAGAGCAAAAGAAAACATGTGAAGCCACCATATCATTATGTATAATTACAGAAAGTTACTTGCGATCTTTAAAACGTGCTCAGAAGTCAGAATAACAAATGATGCGCGTTGAGCAATGCCTCTTCGGCATGAGATACGATCCAAATAACTCACTGAAAATAACAGGCGATCTCTGTTTGATCCTCGAGCGCCAGGATCTCGCGGCTTGCACGGAGAGCGAAAGAACAATCGTCGCACTTAGGAGCACCACCAGGCGCATTGTTCGTCGTAGCCACGGTATTAGAACTGCACTCGTGCGAGGAATACTTCACGTGATGCAATAACAACTTAACGAATAAAACTGTCGAATAATTTCCTAAGCAATGGAGCTTTATACTCGCGCTCGCAAGAATGAAAACATTCTACCGCGTGTCTGTCTGACGATTCACACTGCTGACGTCTCACTGTTGTACAATCGACATCGTGTACGTTTTACGTCTGAAGTTAATCGCTTCCAGGTCAAAGGTTCGTCACTCAATGTTCTCCACTAAATATATTTTCGCTTCGTCAAAAACAAAGAAATAAATGCTTTACGTATTCGCTTGTGTAGTCCGTGTAATTAAATAAATTTACTCTTCAGCACGGGTCATTAACTGAGTCGAGAGTAATTTGCAACTTGACTTATCGACAATGGAAAAATACATGATCGATTTAGAGAATGTCAAACTGCGGACAAGAACTTTTGGCGATATCGAATATACGCGTGCAACATTATCAGCTGATTGCACGCACTAATTGCACGTTCATGGAAGGGCAGCACAGACCATAGGCAGTAGCCAATAGTAGTCAGTCGAAGTGACGCGAATGTGGGGTTAGAAAAATTATCATCACAGAGTTTATCGGCGCGCTTTCGTAAGCATGACTGAGTTTAACTGCGTCTCATTGTCTTCGTCATTGCATTCGATAAATATGTTAGATCGTCTATATAAGCGCGCGTATTATATCTCTTTCTTTTATTGTCTCCAAACAACACAAATCCAAGAGCGCAATATCCTGGAGATGTCTTGGACGTGTCTTGGAAATCTGTGTTGTCTGAGTATACTCATTCAAGTATAAACACTTGAATGAGAGAGGAACGCGATATATACACAAGCATTTGTCATCATGTACCGTGTCGTGTACATTTCAATCAGGGGGAGGGGGACAATAAGACTTTATAATTATTTAGAGAAGCATAAACATTACACGCCTAAAAGACCTTTTCCTCTGATGTTCCTCCTCAAAGATGTCTTCTCCAAGTTAAAATGTCTTCGTAGAGTTATTTCTCAAAAACCCTAAAGCCATCTTTTCTATGAAATCTTTCGGTATATCTCCTTTTTCCCTTTTTTTTTCATTGCAAGAGATCGACCAAGAGCAAACGATGACACAGTGTGTCGATTTTGTAGCGCAACGTCCGGCGCGTCAGGGTCAAAAGCGCATTCGTCTCGCGAACAAGAGGGTCGACAGTTGGAAACGAAGTTGTTGGATCAATCAATGCGGTACCTAGCTCCATCCGTCACCGTCGCGAAAATATAGGAGCATTAGCAAACGGAGACGACGGAGACATCGCGTCACGTCGCACGCGCCCGTCCGCTCGCGAGTTCCATTGCGACGTAGAAATCGGAGCAGTTTAACGAGGGTTCCTTCGTTGTAGGACGTTGTTGTAAGAATGGCCGATATCAAGCAGGAACACAAAGGCGAGGACGTGGACAGTTATGGAATGGGTAACAGCACCGACCCGAAGAACATGCAGGAGTTGACGCAATATGTGAGTTTGTGATTTTTTCTCTCTTACTTTCCGTTCTTTTTCTCATCTACAAAACGCGTTCTGTCAAACGACGCGCTCGGGGATTTTCGGTGTGACCGACCCTCTTGGCTTGCAGGTGCAAACGCTGCTGCAGAACATGCAGGACAAGTTTCAAACGATGTCCGACCAAATCATAGGGAGAAATATCCTTTTTGGTAGCTAACATAACCTAAAAGACCGTGTGTGATAGTGATATTAATTATATAAAGTATTAGGTCGAGGAACGTCCGTGTAGATATATCTCAATAATTTTAGAGCAATTGTGCAAATAATCATATGTGTTTTGATGCGTGTGAGTTTGAGTGACTTATCCACTAATATAATGGCAAGTTTGATATCATTAGATCCTTAATAAGAAATAATAGATGAAATGGGGAGCAGAATAGACGATCTGGAAAAGAATATCGCAGACCTAATGACGCAAGCAGGAGTCGAAGGTGGTGATAAATAAGCTCATCCTTCTTTTAAAATGTTAAATACAAATAAGTGACCACTCATCTGAAATATTTAAGATATCCATATATCATATAACTTATCTCGTAAGACGAGTATTTATATGGACACAGTGTGAGAAAGGCAGAGAGAGATAAGCAGATCTTTTTGTTACAATATAAATAAACTTACACTTTTTTATAAATGTATTTTCATATTATTCTACACAAATATAATCTTTATCACAGTGCTGATTGAAGCATCAAGTAAACAGTGATTGTGTAGTTGCAATAAAATGTAAATTATGATGTTTCTCAATATCAATCTTTATATATAGGAACAGTTATAATATCCCCTTCTTTGTGATAAGATATTTCGCTGCATTTGATCTTATTAGAGATAATTTTGTGCATTTATAAATATCTAAATTAGTATATATATACACACATAGCATACAACATAATGAATATTCTTTAAGTAAGAGAGAAATATATGGTAAAGTGTACAAAAATCACTTTGTCTGATTCAGTTTAGGAGGTAGATAATGAGGATAAATAATTGACGATATTAAGGACTTCTTGTATGTAGGAATTGCTGGAACCGGTTTGATTACGAAACGTTTCTTTACTTTATATCCGAGATGCCCCGACAATGTTCTCTAGAAGGATAGGAAGGCAAGGAGTTAAAGGAGCAATTAAAGATTACATGGATTTATGCCTAGTTCTCACAGGCTTGTCTTGAATTGATTCCGATTCCGTTTCTTCCGTGCTGTCGGCGTATTCTTCCACTTGAACCGATTCGGACGAATTTGTGAAGCCTGTTCGTACGGAATCCTGGAAGAATTCATCGCAGTAAAACCCACTAAATACAAGATAGAGCAGTGGTTTGCGCTCGCGAGGTTTCGTGAAGTTCGTGAGATTTCGACAATTTTCAAGAACAGAGATTAGAACTGACTACTTACAGCGGACTCGGCTCCTCGGTTAGCCGATTTTTGCGACGTCATGGGAGAAGATATGAATCGGCTAGCCAAGTTCGTTAACGAGTAGGCTTGTCGAAAAGAAGTTCTGCCCACTGTGTCCAGTCTTGCGACGGAGTCGGAAACTCGCATCACCTCCCTGAATTCCTGGATAACGAAGTAATGAAAACAATTTTTTTATTTAGGAAATAATTAAAATTCGCGCAACATTACGCTTGATGATAGCGAGAAGTTATTTATAGAAACATTAAATCGCGTGATAAGATATCAATCTAAGGTGGATTTACCCCATTCATGTCTCCTCTCATGATTTGAAAGTCCTGCACGTCAAAGAATAAATAATGTTGACTGCACTTGCACGGATATTGTACGGGTGTAATACAGTTATACAAGGTACCGCTTATCTCGAAGAGGATTACGCGGAAAGATTAAAATGTCACGGAAAATCTGTAGTATCTGCTGCAAGCTCACGAATTTCATGGGTTCTGTTTGATTATCATAAGATCGTGGATATCTCCTATCTTACCTCGAGATCTTTAATCTCGTCGATAGCCGCGACGTCCTGATACGCCTTGGTCAAAAGTTCGAGCGCTTTCGTGTGAAAGCTCAGCTCCACCGTGACGAAGTCCAACAATATGGACTTTAGATCGTGTAACTTTCGTCGCTCGAACGAGTCGATCTGCTCCTCCAATCCTTTCACCACTCGAGACACCTCGACGGATGCTTTCATCAGCTCCGACTCCGCTTGCGACTAGTATTCTTTTGCAATTAAGGACTTTTACCTACTCGCACGAAGAAACTAGCCAGAGACGAATGAGCCGTTCATTTACGATTAAAATCGAACTTATTCTACGATTTTCGATAGTAAGGATACTATCATTTGACGGTTCCTAGGGTTCCTCTCCCGGACTTTGTCCAAGTGCCTTCGCCTCGCGAGTTCCCTGTCGCGCGCCGAAAAGGTGTTCTTGACGTCGTCGCGAGCGTGTTTACAAATCGTCGCATACTGCGAAAGGGGAGCGACCACTTTCGCGTCCAATCTTTGCACTTCTGCATCTCTGTAGTGCGATAAAGTAACGATTTTGAGTAGCAATTTGAATCAATGCTTGAGCGAAGTACAACAGCACACATAGAAAAATATCATTCTGCTACTAAGAAAAGAGCTTACTCAATTTACTTTCCTTTTTTCAACTAATGATTATTTTCAACAAAGAATATTTTTTATGAAACAATTATATTTACTATAAAAATCAAATCTAGAAATATAATGTGAATCTAACGCAATAGTCGAAACGTATGAACTATCGCGTTAGATTTACATTACATTTCTGAATTTAATTCTTATAATAAATATAATTATTTCATATTTTATTATATAAAAGCTTGATCCATTTATTATCTTATTTGTTTGTTCATCAAAGCCTTTCCTAACTTTCTTTTTCTTAAAGAATATTTTCTTGATAATATAGTTTTAAAATATACTTACCACACACAAATTTTAGAAAAGTTCATTGTCATGTCCTTCTCAAAAGAAGGATTTGTTCTCTTTACAACACTATTATAAGATTCTATTCAAGAGAAAATTGGTTCGATTCTATGTCGAGCAAATTGAATTTTTCTTTTAATTTAATATCTTTGATTGAAAGGCTAAATATACTGAGATTCAAAGGATATTTTGAGTAAATTTAATGCTTGCAATGAACTTATGATAGATTTGCAGATATGTAAGCTATAATTGCTGATTTGCAGATATGTAAGCTTATAAATTATTTGAAACAAGTAACATTTATTTAAATGAAGTATGCATTTTCCTATGTATGTAAGAAAGTAATTTACTCACCTATAATCACCTATGACCGATAATGTCTCGGAGAAGTTGGTGAGTCCGGTACTCAAAGATCGATTCACAGTCTCCGAGTCGGCATAGATATGTATTATCTTAGCCAGCTCGTCGCCTTTGTCGCGTAGTCTGAAAAAAACAACAAATGGATATCTGAAAAGTGAAATCGAATCCGTCGTTGCCGGAGCGACCGAGATAATAAAAGGTTCGTGCATGCCGTGCCGACGAAAATAATCGATATACGCTTCCGCTCACGAGTATTCGCCCAGCCATATTTCTCCGTATCTTTCGGGAACGTGAAGATAAAAATGTTGGAGGAAGTATTTCGAGAATAGAAACTAAAAATAAACACACGACGGAAAATCTGCAAATACAATTTTTCGGAAAATAAAATCGATTCGAAGTTCCAGATAGAGGAATACGGTAATGTTATGAGCGATAATCATTGTCGTCGTCCGGCGGAGAAACGCACCTGGCTGTTTTCCTGGTGAACGCTGCGAATATTGTGCATAGCTCGGCGAAGTGCTTCTCTACACCCGTTATACGATCCTGGACGAACTTGGCTTCTTGCTCGCTGAAAGAAACAAAAGAGATTCGTTTAAAAGAGGTATCCTTTCGCGAATATGCTGTCAAACGAAACTGCTCGCGAAGTAGAAACCAGGTATTTACATAGACTCGACTTACCACACGCTGCTTTGCGAGCGTATTCGAAGCATTTCTTCTTATTCTTCAATGAAGTATTCCATGAATTACTAGATACGAAGCGCGATATCTCTTGTAAAACTGGGAACACCTTCGATCGTCTGTTCTCCTGTATACGGACGGTGACAGTTGCCTGCCTACTGACAGGTGGTGGTGAACCGTTGCTGGTGAAGTTATGTCGCGCTTTCTATAGTCCCTTCGGGCTAACTGTGCAGGAGGTCGAGTGTATGGCTTTCAATTACGCCGTTCATTCGTTCGAAATGCTAAACCCTTCTGCATGTGTGTTGCTGTATATTTTTCTTATTTTCTTCTTACAGGTAGATTCTCAGAAGATGTTTTGTGTAATTTGTACGACTTATTAATGCGATAATATTTATAGATATATAGATATATCTCGTATAAATTTTACGAAATTTATACGAGATTTTCTGGTGTAAGGAAAAATTAGTCAAAAGTTATCTAGAGTGAATTTATATTATACTACTGCGATCAGGTAATATTTTTTATTACAGCGAAAGAATGTCCCGCGCCAGAACCGACGAGAACGCCGATAAAATCGTGTGGAAGTGATAGAGGTTCCGGTAACAGAACGTCTTTCGTGTTCCCGTTACCGCAGTTCCCATGCTCGTTCCAGCCCCAGCAGAATATCGCTCCACCCTCTGTGACATTAAATTTGACATATTTCATTATCTGTCGTATCTTCTAACATAATTAATTACAAATATATTTGTATATCTATCGTGCTCGACAATTTACCGGCTAAGGCGACGTTATGCTCCGATCCGACTGAAAGTTGAACGATTCTCGGGAGATTCTCCACACGTTGCATTTTCCAGAAACCACATCCCGTTTCCTCTAATTTCCCGCGACCTAGTTGACCGTAACTATTTCTTCCCCATGAATAAACGACGCCATCTACGATGCATATAAAGTCTGTTTAAATAAACAATACTCAATTGTATATATCAGTCGGAATAGTAAATTTCAAATCTATTTGCAATCAAGCCTCAAATGAAAATCCCCTGGAAGCAGAACATATTCGCAATTAATCAAAGAATACCGTTCAAGATATTTGTGTGACTCCACCCTGCGTGGATGTGAATCGGCGCGCCGAGTCGTAAATCGCAATACACTGAATGGTGTGCGGAACAGATTCGCATGTATTCCCGAGGATCGAGTCCTGCCTGTCCGTGCTTGTTGTCGCCGAAGAAATACGTGGCGTACACGCCTCCGTGCAGTCTCGCGACTACGGTGTGATGCTCGCCACACGCGACATCTTCTACATCCATCAATCCTGGAACTGTTTGACCGTATTTCAATTAAGACATAACATTCTTGGTAAAAAAAAAGTTTATAGAGAACTATAGAATAAAATTCTATTGTTCTATCGTTTTCTGTCGTTTTAAATATGGATTTTGGTGTGTAAATTCACAAATGTGAATAGTATTCTATCGTATACAATAGAATACAATAAATAGTGATAGAATTTCTATCGTTAGAGTTTCCTATAGAATACAAAATTGTGTATAACCAGATAAGATACGATAAAATACAATAGGATAGCTGTATCGTTCTCGCTCGTAAGTTCAGATATAAATCCTACCGTATTTTATCGTATTTTATCTGGTTATACACAATTTATCGTATTTTATCTTATTTTACACGATTTTGTATTCTATAGGAAACTAACGATAGAAATTCTATCACTATCTATTGTATTTTATTGTATACGATAGAATACTATTCACATTTTGTAAATTCACGAACTAAAATTCATATTCAAAACGATAGAAAATGATAATTTTATTTTATCGTTCTCTATAAACTTTTTTTACCAGGGATGCAAAATTGTATAATAATAGTATTCTATCGTATACAATAGAATACAATAGATAGCGATAGAATTTCTATCGTTAGTTTCCTATAGAATACAAAATCGTGTATAACCAGATAAAATACGATAAATCGTGAATAACCAGATAAAATACGATAAAATACGATAGGATTTATATCTGAACTTACGAGCGAGAACGATACAGCTATCCTATTGTATTTTATCGTATTTTATCTGGTTATACACAATTTTGTATTCTATAGGAAACTAACGATAGAAATTCTATCGCTATCTATTGTATTCTATTGTATACGATAGAATACTATTCATATTTGTGAATTTACACACCAAAATCCATATTTAAAACGACAGAAAACGATAGAACGATAGAATTTTATTCTATAGTTCACCAGATTTATTTTCATGCCACTTATTTCTCCAATTAATATATAAATATATAAAACGTGCCATATTCTCTAATAACAATATATCAGAGATCTTTTTATGTCTTCTACTATGTACTTATATCTTCTACAGGATAAGAATAATGCGACAGTCTGTCATACTTGCGGTGAAACAATGCCGAGCGTCACGAGACTGCTTGTTCTCCGCATTAGTTAGACCCAATTGTCCTTTGCTGTTCGCCCCGCAAACTAAAACGTTACCATTATCCGTTACCGCAGCGGTGTGCCGCAAACCCATGGAAACGCGTCTAACTTTTCCCGACCGAATGGTACGTATAGGCAACGAAGTCGACGAATGAGTTGACGGGTCGTCGCCCAGCTGTCCGTAACGATTGGAACCCCAAAGGTACAAGTCACCGTCGTTCGTCAATGCCGCGGAACTGTCCCATCCGCAGCATACGTCGACTATTGTCTTATTGTCGAGAGGAAGTCTCCGAAACGTTAGAATATTCGTTAGCTCCGAATCTGAGATTCCAGTTTGTCCTTTGTCGTTTCGTCCGCAGGAGTAAACTCGACCTTCTGTGTCCAGTATCAACGTGTGTCCGCCACCACCAACGATTTTCCTCGCCGATTCCGGCTTGAGGCCGCATTCGGATAAATCGATCTCTTGAGGTAAGAGGCATTGTTCGGATGACACACCTTGTCCCAGTTGACCGTGCGAGTTTGCACCCTGCAAAAAGTCTCTGTCAAATTCTTGAAGGCTTGTATTTTGAACGTTTGAATTTCACGAATTTTCCGTCCTCTTGGCCAGAGTTTCTCACCCGGCAAAGTGCCGGACTGGGAGATACGTCCTGATGGAAATAATCTATTTAAATATTTACTGAAAATCTCTCTCAGTTGACCCCTTTCATTAAGATTCATAAACATTCGTAGAATTCATTAAGATTTATTAAAATTCATAAAATTATTTTTATATAACAATAAAATAAATTTTATGAATTTTAATGAATTTTAATTAATTTTGAATAATTTTAATGAGAATTTTAATGAATTTTATGAACGTAAATTCAAAGAGATTTTCAGTAAAATGTTTTCATCAGGGCGTATATATACGATTTCATTCCTCGCTTTTTTGAATCGTGAAACTATCTCGAAGTATGCGTGTCGCTGTCATTCCAGTGAGATGATTCTTTGCGAGAATATTATAAAAATATTCAACAAAAGCGTGAAATAAATTTTCCTCATATGAAATGTTTTTCTCGAGGGCAAATCGATATTTTATAGATCGGAGAATATCTTTGATTTTCTACCTTAAGTGGAATATTTGAAAGAGCAAATTTTTTTTACGAACAATAAGAAAATTATTTACAGTTACATTTCAACTGAGGAACAATCCATTTCAAATTCGTCGAGAAGAATCCGCCATTAAAACTAGGATTTCGAGATGTGCACATTCATTCAACAAAAAGTTACAGTATGGTTCTTTGCATTAGCACCGACAAGGTAATGTTAAAGGTCGTTGATCTTATGGGATTTTGCATTTATATAGAAAATTTAAGGACCTCCTGGACTGATTTGTCGACACAAATGTGTAAAATCAGTGTAGATAATGACTACAGAAATGCACTTTCATAAAAATATTCAATATATTTTATCGCAAGTGTATATACATAAGATAAAACATATTAAGATAGTTGCAAATTATAAAACATAATACTTTATTACACACTGAATATCTAAATATTTATGACGGATAGCTAAAAATAGTCGATAATGTCACTTTTCTTCAATTACCTCGAGGTCTTTTTACGAGAACGAAAATTAATTGAGGGATGACTGTCTTTAATATCTCGTCGGTTGTACTTATTTCTTAATTTTTTCATGTATGTGCTTTATGTAGTTATGTAAATCCACTTATAGAGACCTTCAGTGTCCACCAAAGCAGTCACGTGGGCGACTGAATCGCTGTATGAGTCACGATCTATTTGTTCCTTGTAATACATGGTGGATATGTGCAAGCAGTTTACTACACGTGATGTATTCGCGCGACGGAATTGATTTTTATAAAAAATTCACGAATTTATCTTATAAGTGATCGTTCTCACCCATGAGATTAGCTTATATGTAGACATCGTCGAAGATAGTGTGTCTTCGCTCGTGCGACTTGGAATAGTGATTCTTCCGTATTCATAATCCGTCCTTTACCGTACGCAGATGGCGTTCGACAATTATTGGCGTACCTAACCTAACTTGACGTCGCCTAACCTCATTGCTAAAGTATATGATGTATGATTTGAGATATTTACTTTTTATTTACGATACATTATACTTTCTGCATTTAAATGTAAAGCAAATATAAAATCTGTTTGATTTCGAAGAATTTCTGAAGCGCACACTATAAGTTAAAGTAAGAGAAAGTATATTTGTTTTACTCTAACTTATTGCACTGGTGCAGAAGTTGTTTGAAAACAAACAGGCCTATACATTGGTGTATTACAAGAGAAAAGAAAGAAAAAGAAGATTGGAATAAAGTGCAGTAAGTGCAACTAAAGAAATCGACCTATTGTAAATATCGAGCGCCGGTATTACGAATGGTGGTTGCAGAAAAGTGATAATCAAATGAAAATTTATTCCTTAGGGTGTATGCAATATTTCTGCAAACACACGATTGATTTCATAAATGATATGACATAAAAAAGTTCAGAAGAGCGTGACAATGGAAGAGTCTGCAAAGTTCGATATTAAGGTGGTTAAGACGGATCTTTTGCACGCGATAAATGAGTGTTCCCAACGTGGTTTACGATATACTACCAAATGGTACGCGAAATTCTACTGAAATTCGTAAAAATATATTGTTATTTTCTTTATTTGTGCAACTTTTCGGATACTTACAACGTTGTGTTTACGTCTGTTATAGGTTAGCAGAATTGAATTATTCCTTGAAAAATGTCAAATTGGACTTACAAGACCTAACTACAGATATCAAGTCACTAGAGATAAATGAAGAGGAAGATACCTATACATTAGCTAAAACATATTTCGACTTAAAAGAATATGATAGAGCTGCGTACTTCACAAAAGATTGTACAACCCCAAAAGTTAGATTTCTACATTTGTATTCACGTTATTTGTCAGGAGAGAAGAAGAAAATAGATGACATGACTGATGTGCCACCAGATCCTATGAAAAATGACAGTCTCAAATTGCTTTGCGCCGATCTGAGAAAAGATCATTTGGCCTCCAAGCTAGATGGCTATAGTTTATATCTCTTTGGTGTAACCTTAAAGAAACTGCAACTCACCAAAGAAGCGACTGATGTTTTAGTAGAATCTATACACAAGGAACCTATGCATTGGGGTACATGGCTGGAGTTAGCTGCTTTGATCACAGACAGGGAGAAACTGGAAAACTTGTGTCTGCCAAATCATTGGATGAAGTACTTTTTTATGGCGCATATGTACTTAGAACTGCAACTCATAGATGAAGGTTTGGCATTGTATTGTGAACTGCAGTCAATGGGCTTTCAAAAAAATTGTTACGTACTAGCTCAAACTGCAATAGCGATGCATTATAGGAGAGGTCAGTTCAACTTGATATTTAAAGTAAACACTTTTTGCTCACAATTTTTGTCAAGAAAATTTTAAATTTATCTCTAGCATTTTACAGCATTATATAGATTATTTAATTATAACTATTTTGCAAAAATATCTATTTCAGATGTTGATGCTGCAATGGAAACTTTTAAAAGAATAATAGAGGAAGATCCTTATTGCCTTGATAATATGGATACATATTCGAATCTGCTTTATGTGAAGGAGATGAAAGTTGAATTAGCATATTTAGCACACAGAGCTACTGAGATAGATAAGTATAGGTTGGAAACTTGTTGTATAGTAGGTGAGTTCATGTCCTTTTTCAAAAATATAGGAAGAGTATACTTTACAAGATAGACTAATATATTCGTCTCCTTTTTTTTCTTTTAGGAAATTATTACAGTTTAAGAGCTGATCATCAAAAGGCAGTGATGTATTTTCACAGGGCACTGAAAATGAATCCGCAGTATCTATCGGCTTGGACGTTATTAGGACACGAATTTATGGAAATGAAGAATACCAATGGCGCTATCCACAGTTACAGGCAAGCAATTGGTAAGATCTTTGAGAATTAATCGCTTGTGTCATTGATGTGGCAACGTATTCTCTATTTATATCTGCTGCACAACTTTATAGAGGTGAATAGACGAGATTATAGAGCGTGGTACGGCTTGGGTCAGACGTATGAAATCTTGAAAATGCCGTTTTATGGACTTTACTATTACAAACAAGCTCAGCTCTTGAGACCCCACGATAGTAGAATGGTCTTGGCCTTGGGTGAAGCGTACGAGAAGCAGGAAAAGACACCAGAGGCGCTCAAGTGTTATTACAAGGCATGCAATGTGGGCGATATAGAAGGCATGGCGCTGTTAAAGTTAGCAACGTATGTATCGACATAAATTTCTATTCAGTTCTTACGTTCGAAGACATTCGATCCCGAAGGTTCAATTAACCATCAATTAACGTCGCCTTCATTGTTATCATGATCACTATTAATTAGATTGTATGAGAAATTGGGAGAAAACGATCATGCAGCTGCAGCTTATACGGACTTCGTAGTGGATGAATACCGGAACGTCGACAGGAAGGAGTTGAGTCACGCGTATATATACCTCACGCAGTATCACTTGAAAAGAGAACAATTGGATCAAGCTAATCATTACGCGCAGAAATGTCTTCAGTTTGACGAGACGAAGGAGGAGGCGAAGGTGCTGCTAAGGACAATCGCTGAGAAGAGAGCAAAAGTGGAAGAAACATCCATGGTGGTGAGTAGAAGTGATGATCTTCTCGGGCAAATTGCGATTCGATCTCATGACTTTATTTCAGGTGGATGACATGAACGAAACGGATCCCGTGATCGAGCAGACAGCGCGTACGGACGCGATATCCGGCAGCCAATTGTCACCGATGAATCTCTCGTTCACACCTACCCCGTAAATAAAATGATACCTCCCACTCGCAGTCTGCAACTTCGACATCCCAATATCTCTGTATATAAATACAAAGTATTCGATAATTTGATACATTATGTATGTTTCTACGGTAAATCCGTTCTTTCTTCTAAAAAGATAAAAACTTGTGCATTGACAATTACAGTAACGTTGCTTTATGATCGGTCGTAGGTATCACTGACGACGGAGCCGATTTTGCTCCTGCGTCTCTAAAGTTAAAACTCTCGGAAGAGAGTTCTAAAATTCAAACATTGGAAATGAAATTAGAAACATGTCAACCAAACGAACAAAAAGCTGTTTCACTTCTCTACCTGATAAAACGAGGAATGTTCCTTCTTTCCACATAATTCCACACATACGCGACGTGCGCTAACGCCACTGGAGCGACGTCGAATGACTGCAATAAGGGAGAAAGAGGCGGATAAGGAGAAAACGTATACGCCAGAGGGACGAGGGGCGTGGACAACCGATAAAGCGGTTGACCCTCGCTCTCCTCAATGACCTGTCGAGATATCGTTCCACTAAATCTACTGACGTCCTCGCAGTCGAACGCCTATAGCACGCACGGCCGTATCCATGCCTCTCGTTCACTGTTGAGCCATCAGCGAGCGGGTAGAAAAAGAGACCAGTGCAAGTTTTACGACGAGAAACGTAGTACGGCACTCTACACCGGAAGGGAGTCACGCTGACTAATCGACCGTTGAATTAAACGTAGCATTCACGATATTAATCCGTCGAAGGTTGATAGTGCTTCCGAAAAAGAGATAAATCGATCGCAGAAAAAATACGAAGTAATTCCTGAAGTGAATCAAAATGACAGCATTTAAACTGAGCTTAAATAAGAGCTTGAATAAGAGCTGAGCGCTAAATATCATATTGCGCGATAAATATGAAAAATAATTCAGGAAGAATTTTCAATATCGGAGAACATTGATACTAACATTTCCGTTTTGACTTTGATCTTTCTTTAATCTTTATCGTGCAATAATATCGAATGCTTGGCTTTTATTGGTTCAATCTGAATATTGTTATTTTGACTGTGTAACTTTTTCTATTGTTGTTTTCCGGTTTGACGTCGCGTTAATATTCGCACGACGGCGACTCCCGTAAAATCGTGATATTGAAGTTGCGACTGTTGCAGTAACAAACACAACTAATCAACAGTATATCCAGTTATTACATCGGTGCGCCTGGAAAGAAGGGCTGGTACAACAAGTGCGAGTTGTGTCCCGGTTCGGAAATGCGAGTGTACGCGGTCTTCTTGGTAGTGGTGTGCTACTTCCTGTGTCCCTTGTGTGCGGGCGACGATCCAAAGCCGGACAATGCCTCGTCGTCTTCGATAGGTACGATTAATCGATATGATACGGGCAATTGGGTGAAGGCTGACTATATTTTCTCTGTGAATTGCTCAAATAGGATTTAATCGGATTAAATACTGCGTGCTCAAGCGGCAAATTTCCTAACTGGCTCTTTGCACTTTCGGCAAATTATTTAAACATGTTATCCAGTTGTATGAGCGATGGATTGCGATCCTCCTGTTTCTCTTCTTTTCGTTGCAATTTGAAAGTCCGCAAAGACGAGTTGTCAAAGCAAACGAGATGGTAAAGAAAAAAGAGAACTGAAGAAAGATTTATTTGTCGCATTGTATCATATTGCGTTGCGTTATTATTTTCATGATAAACGATTTATTTTCATTGCGCAGTATAATTTGTAGTTCAAAGTGCAATAGTAAATCGTAGATCGCTATAAGATAGACTTATCGCTTACGCTCGTGAATACATTGGTTTGCGAAATTCTAATACGTAATTCTTCGAATTCTGTCTTTTCCGCAACAAACTCCTCACGCGCCGATGGTTTTTAAATTGCAAGCAAGCAAGCAATAAAGTGCCAAGAAAGAGAGCGAAAAAGTGGCAAGTTACTCTCTGCCTGGGATTTCCCAACATTATAATAATTATTTAATGTTGCTTTTAAACTGGCCGATTAATCAGTCAGATAATGATTTCTTCTAGACAAAAACAAGGTAGCTCAGATGGCGGCGGGCGAACAACGGCTCGGGGATCAAATTCGAGCGATACTGAAACATTATCAGCAAGACGATCCGGTTGGGCTGCCAGGCGCGCCGATACCCGATCCTATGCCAGTTCCGGACATGAAACACTCCTTTTCCATATACACGATGCATTTTAAGCAGATAAACGTCTACGGCTTGTCCAAGTTTCGCATTGAGCATGTGGAATCAGAATTGGCGCGTATGCAGGTAAATGTAAAAGAACAGTTAAAACTCCTGGGCTTATATTCTTAAAATTTTTGCGTATACGTAAGTTTCTTTGCGCAGATATAATTATATCATAAAATAGCGCAATAAAACTTAAGTGTATGCAAAAATTTCAAGAATACGGGCCCTGATCTCCCTCGCTACGGAATTCTTAACTGACAACGTTAGAAACGAAGAAATGCATGGCCAATATTTTTATAAAGCACGTGACTTCAAAACACGTTTGATAACAAATAAATTGTCAAGAACTGTCGATAATTCAGAATTCTATATTGGTTATAAAATGCAAAGTGTCTGCTTTACAATATTGGATATATTGAGGCCTAATTTGTAGGCAATATTGCCTCAGTGAACTGTGCAGAGAAATATCGCGTCGTATTTTATGCGGACGTAAGTGAAAGATGATAAACGACGACGCCGCAAAATTGTGCGGTCAAGCAAGATTTGCGTAGAGAGTACGCAGACTGACTTGAAAGAAGAAGTCAGATTTGCCGAGTAATCACTGTAATCGGTATTTAATATTATTAATATTATCACCATTCAATCGATATTACCATATTATTTAGTATCGTTATTATTCTAATACTATTCTTGGCTCTTGCTTTATTTTGTTCAATTAAATTGATTTGTTAAGTTGAATTTTATATAAATCTTTTTTTTGTCCTTTACACCTGTAACATTTGACTCGCCGTTCATACGCTTTCCTCAAAAGTGTAAAAGCGATCATATTTTTGAGGTCTCCGTCTCAGTGAAAATCGATGGTCTCGACATTCGTGGATTGTACACACTGGCGTCATGGCTCTCTAAATCGGCCGGCGATTTCACGGTGAAGCTAAGCGGCGTGAGTGTCCAAGGTATTGCCAGGCTCGAAGTCGGTACTGACGGTAAACTGCAAGCCCAAAACATCGACATGGACTTGACGTTCGACAAAATTGACTTGGACTTCAAGAATCTGGGATTCCTGGGCTCGGTCTTCCAAGGAGTCATCAATTCCATCGGCACTTTCATGTTCGATAGCATCAAGCCGTTCATATTGAAAGAAGTCAATACGAACGTGAGGTACGAAGGATCTAATGAGAAATATCTCCGACGGGTAGAAATATTTAGACATACATAGAGGTGTCTCGTGCAAAAATCATATATTCGGAAGTCGAACGTCCAATTGAAAAGCAAACATAAACTTTGATTATTAGAAAGTTAAATTATTCAATTATTGTCAGTGTAGTATTCAATTCTTTCTAATTCAACTGTCCATAGATTTATCTTTATTATATTTGACACTGACTACGTGGAATATATTTCTAGGGGCGAGGTGAATAAGCAGATATCGCAATTGCCGCAGTACTTCCCGAACTCGATTTCACCGTTCGACATGGCAGTCGCGGAAGCTCGCAGACAAGTCCGCGCGATGGGCTACGATCCCTACAGGGTGCCGGACTATACTCAGAGCGCTGGCATATTCACCGTGATCTCGTCGCACACTTGGATCACTGGCTTGGCTAGTTTCTATCGCATGGGAAACATTACCATAACTATGCAGAAGGGAAATGTGAGTGGTCCTTACAGCGAAAAGGCTTTTCGGACATGACGTTGACGAATGTGGAACGTCAGACATCTGCAAGTCAGTCGGTCAGTTAGTTAGGTAGTTAGTTGTAAACAAGGCGCGCGTTGTAATACGCAAAGCAGCGGCATTATCATAATTGCGACGATCACAGTTGCGTAACGTTACGTAATCTCGGCCGTGCGATCGTCAATGCAACGATACTGATTCGCAATGCGGACGAGTACGAGAGAACGTGGCGAACCCCGCGACGGTCGGTTTTGGGGTTTCGCGTGTGGGCGACTTATGTTTACTACAAGCGTCGCGCGCCTTATACGCAGGTCTACGCGCTACTGGACGTTGGCACCCAGGAGCTCAAAGGCAAGACGCACTGGGAGATGAGCGTGATCGGCGGAGTCCTGTCACGAGCCGGCACAGTGTCCTTCACCGTCCAGTACTTCCGCGTCCAAATGAAGCTGAGCCAGCCGTTGGACACGCGGAAACGCGCCTCTCTGGAGGAGCTGGAGCTCGAGCTGGGCAACATTCAGACGAGAATTCACGGCGCTGGCACGTTGGACTATCTCGTGGAAGCCAGCGTTAATATATTGCCGAACCTTTTAAGGTCCGTAATGACCGTGCCCGTGGCCTCTCCGTAATATGCGTCTCGCGTCGATCTCAAGGCTGCTTCCATAATTGGCGATTATCATTCTGAGCTGATTAATTAGACCCTCGATCGAAAACGACTGCATGCAAGCGATTAATCACAATCGCTTTGTCAGCAAATTCGAGTTTTATGCTGGAATTCGGATCTTGTATGTTTGGTATTGAGATTAACCAGTTGATGAGTTGAATTGTGAGTTTGGGATTAAGTTTAAGTTGAGATCTTTCTGACACTTTAGTATTTTTTACAAATTTCCTTTCGTATAATCATACGTTCAGCGATAATATGCTTCATGGAGAAGCAATTGTGTGCATGAAACTTCCCGAATTTGTTCTTTTAAGTTTCTAGCTTCATCTCTCGTTTACATCTATAGATATCAAATTATGGACGCCATTGAGGGACCTCTGAAGAGACGCATACAGGAGGAGCTAAACAAAATAGATGTAGAGAAATTGATCGACGATAAGATACCGGAGATAGAGGAGCAAGCTAGGTGGATGCACGGTTTAATGCCCGCGGAAGAAACGATTTTGGAGACATCGACTCCGCCGCAGGATCAAGACAGTCAGGTGCCATTCTCCGACAGCGAAGAGAATCGAGGACCATCGTAAGAAATATAACACACGTACATTGAACTCTTTTTAACTTAAATCATCTTCATGAAGAAGGAAACGTTATTAGCGAAATATTATATTATAAAGTTAAACGATGACAGCTACAATGCAAATATTGTACTGCAGTTATGCTGCTCGTAAGTAATTAATATGAGAGATTGCGGGTTTGTAAAAATTATACAAACGACGTTTGAGATATTAAATCGCATTTTTATTGAGAAATAAATTATTATACAGCGAAATTTACTATGTCAATTATATTACGTTATAAGCTGAGTAATAATTACGAATTTGTAAAAAGCGAATAAAACTATGGAAGATCGTGCGAAAATGTGCAAGAGAGAGAGAAATTATCATAATACCGGTCATGGAATAGGCGTATCAATAGTGAACACAATTGTAATTGTTTCGTATGAAACATATTATGCAACACTTGGGTTCGACAATAACGTAGAAGCAGGCGCTACTTTTCAGCCGATGTATGAGTAAGCAATGTCCGGTTATTGCCTATATCGTCCAAACGTTGCCATCCAATTCGCATTTTTCGCCCTAAAAACAGGTGTTGCATAAAAAAGCTATCCCTATAAATACGAACCCTAAATTCAATCGAGAACTATACAGCTGACAATAACTATTAATACAAAACAATTGCATAACAAATAAATTAAACAAATTATTTTTTATATATTATAATTTTAAACGAATTATATTATTACGTAAGAGCGACAAGCTCCGCGGAACTATCCGCAACTATCCGTGATTGTTACATTTTAGCAGCGAATTGCGGTGATGTAAATGGATCTGAAACTGGCGGTCTCTAAACAGCTCGAGTGACGTAACATTTAACAGTGTCGTGCGGATTTCGCAATGAAGCCGTCCTTTTTGCGACCAACCTGTTGCTCATAATTAATACCGATATTCGCTCGATAATTACGAAAAAATAATTGATAACTGCTGATCATTCCGGATAAGGTGTGTGTATATATATGTGTGTCTGTTTGTAATTGCTCATGATTACGTCTAATTGCGCTATATGTCACAGTTGACCAAACGCTCTCGGAAGATCTGACGCACAGCTACTATTATCGACTTTAGCGAATCGGTGCGCACTAGTTTCTATTTTTGGAAAGTCTCATATGAATGTAAATGAAATTCTTTAGCCGTATGATCGGCCGCTTCGCTAATCTATCTTGCGCTATAGATCAAATAGCTATTGAATAATCGTGACTCGTCTTGTATGTATGTGTGTGTATATATATATATATATATATATATATATATATATATAAATATATATATACACATACACATGGAATACATACATGATATATACATCAGCGGAAATTTAACGGTATCGGTATATATCGATCGGTTGTACTCTTATAATAGACATCCGTGAGGAAACCCAAACGCAACGCAAGTGTTTGAAACACGTCGCAAAGGCAATCAGAAAAGCGTTTCTGATCACCTTTAGACATCTCTTAGCAGAAACGTCTAAGAGCAGCTAAATGTCCGAGTGAACCGATAAATAAATCTCTTTGCAAATCTATGGTAGATAGAGTTAAGCAGAGCATTTAGGAAATCTCTCGGATGTCTACTACAAACATCTGTACATGTTACGTTGTCTTCTGCGGGAGAGCTTTTAAAATTTGTTGCGAATGGCTGGCCAGTAGCTTCGCTTGACAGGTAAGATTCGCTCGCTTGACGTTAGTTTAGGCCACAGTTTAGGCGCCGTGATGGTGAGGATACCATCGGATGACAGGCTGGGCTGCACATTGTTAATGTCGTAGCCCTTGGGCAGCAAGTAGCGACGCATGAATTCCCTGGACACGTAGCCGTCCCGATCTGGCTTATCCGCGTGCCTGGCCTCGATGGTGATGTATTCGTTGTCGGTGCGCACCGTGATCTCCTCCGGCGCGAACTGATGCACGTCCACGATCATCCGGTACTTGTCGCCGTCACGCTCGATCGTCGTCTTGCCGCCCACTTGATGATCCAGGTCGTCGAATACACTGCGCCACGGCCGGAAGCTGCGAAACGACGGGAACGGCGGCATCCGCCACACATTGTCATGGTATCGTATCAAACGTTCGAAGTGCCTCTCTATGTCCTTGTGGTAACGATCCATTTCGTCCCACCAGTCGCCGAATCTAGTCCTCGGTACCAACGCCATGCTACTCTGCGGAAAAATCGGATCGATCTAATTAAGATTTAATGGTTCCGCGACACGCGAATAAGATTTACTGCGAGTCAAAAATTTCCGACGGTCCTCTCGGCGCGTATGTGCGATAGGTGAATCAATCCTCAAGCACTCAACCTAATATGAAGATCTAATTCGCGCACTGACATTTTGAGATTTGATACGCGACGATTATCAACTAATGTCAACTCCGTGTCGCGGTTAAATAATCGATAGTTCGCGCGCAATGCAGCAGAATTGTTATACGTACTTTTCCGTATTCAAGCAATTACGCGCGTTCCCAACGATCGATATCAAAGACGGCAATGTCAAATGCAAATTGATTGACGCTTCGAAATTACTTGTAAAACTGCGCAATAGCCGCGATACTCTGTAGCGCGAAGTAGAAGTACGGGCTCAAGCCGATTCGAATTACTCTTTGCGACTAACTGCGCGACACCGCCGGCACGCCGATTTATATTTGGTTTACCGCCTTTTTAGAGATCATCACCGCAAGTGCGCATGCGCGCGACTATTGCTGAGGAGAAATTATGCTCGCCTGTTCGACGTTGCACGAGGATTTTCTGGTTCCTTCTAGCAACGCGGTTTCCGCAAATCGTAATCTATTTCGAATAATCTACGTAATCAATGACAAATTTTTGAACAAGATTCCACGTGCAATTCGATACGTCGTGTAATGCGAGAAACATTTGTGAAAAAATCGACATTACAGGTATATTTGAACATATCAGGCCGCGTACATCAAATTAAAATATTAAACTAAAAAATAATATATTACTAAATCTATAGTCGCTGTTTTTTTAATGTAATATGGTAAAAATTACTTTATATATATATATATACTTATTTGTATAAATTTAGATACAAATTCCATTTTGTTTTAATTCGTCACATATGTAGTTCTAACTTAATCTTTTATGTTGTATATTGTTTATGTATATATACATATGATACATTTTACATGTTAAATAATATAATATCAGTTATAATATAAAAATATCTAATACATATTTCAGTTAAAAAATATATTTCTTTAATTGCTTAATAAAAGTATATTTCACAATTGCTGCCATTTATGTAGTATATCTATCTTGAAGTATTAGTCATGCTGTACTTGCTTCTATTGGCACGTGGAAAACAACTAAGAAAAACCCTTACCAAATATTGCGTGTGACATCAGCGCACACGTAACGCCAAATACTCCTATATTAATAGCCCGCAATGATACATCGGCGTTTTTTTACAACGATAAATCGAGTTAACTGTAGGCAATGGCACGGTTTCAATGCAACTCGTCTTCTACTTCTCTTGCACAATATACACTGAATAATCATGACAAAAACAGATTAATCAGAATGAAGTTTTCAACAAATTTAGGTCCAATTGACTGCTTACTGCATATTTATGTTATATATCACATCACATGAAAAATTTATCATATAAAGTAATTAAACTGTCGCTGTGGTCGGCTGTAGAACCTTATACGGATTTAGGATGCCGTTTGGATCCATCAGTTTCTTCAAATCGCGCATCATCTCGATTTCGGAGGAATTCCTGCTCAAGTGAAGATACTTCGTCTTCTTGAAACCGATGCCGTGTTCTGCGCTAACGCTACCTTTACGCTCAGAGACGAATTCGAAAATAAATGGCTCTATTTGGGCGGCTATGTCCTCGTAATATTGAGGTATGGACAGTTGCACGTGAATATTGCCGTCGCCTGGAAATAGGAAGGAAGAAGATTTCAAAAATTACAGACACATTTCAATATACGTTACGAAAGACGTACCTATATGACCGTAACCGCTAATTCGGGTAATTCGAGGATCGCGCATTCGTTCTCGTAGGACTTCGACGATCTCATAATAAGATGAAAGAGGCAGAGACATGTCATACTTGAAGACGTAGCCGTCACGCAGAACACCTTCGCTGATCCTCTCTCTCAGAGCCCATATGTACTGCAAATTTAACGGTTTCTTGAATATTGAGAATTTAAGAGAATTTAAGAGAATTTAAGTTACAAAATATCTTTTAACAATTTTATTGTGGATTTTCGTCTTAAAGAACCTAGAAGTAATGTATATAATCTTTTATATGTATATAATCTTTTAATTACGTACATTAACCTTCGCCGTTTCGTTAGTCAGAGTACCGTCTTCGATAATGCCTTGATCCATCGCTTTTTCTACAAACAAAGAAAGCTTTTCTTCGTCGTGCGCGAGATGACTACCAGAAGTCTCTATAATCATATAGAAATCGTGTCCGTTCTTGCGTGTTGTTAATGGATCTTTCATGCCTAAATTATTAATAGAGACATCCAAAGACAGTCGGTCCATCATCTCGCAGGAGGACAGAATTTCGCCTAATTCTTTTTTCGCCAGATAAAAGGTTTCCAACACTTTGTCGAAACTGACGAGTCCTGTATGTAAGAATTACACAATTACATTATCTGTTAAAAAAAGTTTGTAATCAAATATACAGAGATATGTTTTACACTAATAATCTCATATTTTTTTATTTGCTCTATATACAATTTTATATCATTTACGTACCCAAAAACGCAACATTCACGGCTTTGGGTAATGGCGGACACTGTATGGCAACTTTTGTGACAATACCCAATGTTCCCTCTGAACCGATAAACAAGTGTTTTACGTGATATCCGGTGTTGTTCTTCTTCAACGTGCTCATCGCATCCACGACATCGCCATTAGCCTTCACCTAGAAAAGATGAGTAGAAAAAACTTGTTTAGCATCCTTAAACATCCAGATTTTTTTCCAAAAGGCGTTATACTAAAAAAATAAAAAGAAAAGGAAGTTAAATACAAAATCTTCTAAATCGCAATGCTCTAAATCTAATTGAATCTAATTCAAAGATTACAAATTAATTATACTTTCTTTTTATGTGTGACTTTTAACACATTTAAATATTTATTTCTCCCAAATTTAAGTATTTTAACGAGATTTAGACAATAATAATATTGTTGCAAAAAATTCGATATCAGAAATATTTATCTTGTTAACTTTGACGCTAAATTAATTGATAAAATTTTTTGTAAGTCATGCTTGCACTCACGGCTTCGACACCCAAAACGTTTCCATGGAGGTTTCCGTAACGCAAAAGTCGCAGACCACCTGCATTAGTGGAGACGCAACCACCGATCAAACAGCTACCTTTAGCTCCAAGATCCAAAGGCATCATCAGTCCGACTTTGGCCAAGTGTTCATCCAAATCCTGTAAAACGCAGCCAGCCTCGCATGTCAGTACACCTAATACCGAAAATGCATATATATATATATATATGTGCATAAAAAAATAATTCTCTCTTCTGGTATTTTTTGTATTGTTAAAAACTGACGGGGAGAATTCAATTTCAAATTTTTATTTTGGTACTCTTCTTTTATCGTCTCATTTTGGCTCTGTTCTATGATACGCGCGCATTTTTTACAATATGCGTAACATAAACTATAAATAAATGCGCGCATATACATGTTACGAAACGTAACCTTTATTTTCACATGAATGATGGACACCACCGCCATCTCTCTCAGTTATCTTTTCTTCACTTTTCATTATTTCTTTTTTTCGCTTCGATAAAGCACCACATTTGTTATTTTTGTACGTCCCATTCTGAGTTTTTGTGATCCCATACATTTCACACTTCATTTTTGATCACTCCCCTCATCTATCCTCCATTCTTCCTTCATCTTATACAATCATCTATTATCCAAGACCTTTTCTTTTCAACCAGTCCTTTACATTCTTTTCCTGAAATTGACCTCGATCCTTTCCTTTAAGACTCCTCCTCTCCCAGTATTTTCTTCTCTATCGTCTTCTTAGCTTTTCTTCTATTTTCATTGCCTGTTCCGCCGTTTTTTTTTTTTTTGTGCAATAAATTTAATAACAACCGAAGCGATTTTAATTACGTTTGTTTTTGACGGAGCTTTCGAGAATGATCTTAAAACTCTTTTGATATAGGACTTACCTGCCAAATGATTTGTTTCCAAAATTCTATTCATGAGCTTCATGGAGACGACTATTTCGTCGAACACAGGTGTGCTGCCTCCTACAAGACCGGTGTTACCACTTTGTGGGCAGACCGCTAATCGTTTCTCATTGCAATATTTTAATATGGCTGATACCTCCTCGGTAGATCTCGGTTTTAGCACCAACCGACTGGCACCTGCGTTTGATTACAATTAAATCGCTGTTTGACTTGAAGAAAAAAGAATTCAATATTTCTCTTGTATAATGCAAAAAAAGATATAACAATATTTAAATCAGCTTATTTATTACACGTACGTAAAAAAATATCTAAGAAATAGTAAATATTATTTAGTGGCTACACACATACACACACACATAATAACATAGATTTAATATGTTAAATATATGTATATTATTAGTACCCATCTAAAATAAATATTTACTATTTTTTAATATCTATTTCATCAATAAACTAAAAAAATTATTTTTTTTCAAGAATTTGCTTATTCAATCTTATCTCTTTGTGATTTCAAGTCTTATCTCTCTATCATTTTAGTCGTAATACTGCGCGCTGCGATTTAAAAAATTTCATTGGAGGAATTCCTTTTCCTCACGTTCTTCCAGTGAGATCCATGTCCATCCGCCTTACCTCTCACCGTGTTGGGGAAGTCGATGTTGTAACTCTCACATTCCTCCGGATCCGTGATAATTCGATGGGAGCCAAGTAAGCCGTCGAAGAAACGAACGTCGGCGGTCGAGATGGAGGCGTAAGGGCCGCGACGTACTTTGTACCGGATCGACGTTAATTCCGGCTTTGCGTTGGCCGAGTAGCAACGAGATAAACCCGCGATCCTCCCTGGCTTTCGAACGATGTCGTTGCATCGAAGGAAGACGTTTACCGGCATGCTTCGCATGGCGCGACCTTAATTTGCCTTAATTATCACGGTGAGTTTGTCCTGCGAAAGAAGAGAGATATCCTTAATACTGTCCTGCGTCTACTTCAGACGATCTGTAACTCGCAATAGAATTCTATCTGCAGAGAATACGGCTATTCGATACCGCTAAATAAGAAGTGTATTTTTGTTATATCGAGTATTAAAAAGCATTAAAAATACATTAAAGAACAATTAGTTACATTATTAGTTACATTATAAATACAGAGTGTTCTTTAACGTCGAATTCTGTCTTATCATTCGATACGACCGAGAAATTCAATTGTACAAAATAAAATGTCATCTAACATAAATACCGTATCTAATATAAATATGTTAAGTGTTACGACAGGCGCAAATTGTGATTTCTTTTTTGTTGGAAATATCGCAGGAAACATTAAATTAAATTAATTGAAATAGACCGCTGTCCCACAGTCAATTTCGTTTATTCGCAAACTTTTGATTGTGCTAATCTGCGTTTAAAACAAACGAGGAGGAGTTTAGTCTTTTACAAGTCAATACCGGCTACACCTAATTTCCATCTATTTAATTTTAGAATTTTCAAGCTTTTTATTCTCTCAACTCTCTCCTACCGATAAGAGATAATTCAATGTAGGGACTCTAGACTTCTAAGACTTTTAATTTATTTTTAATACAGAGTCGACAACACGTTAACGATTATAGAGAAAAAAGTTACTTCCATATGCATTAACATTTTCTTTAAGCACTTTCCATTAATGTGACTGTTCGTTTCCCTGAATGTTATTTATATATTATATAATTCAGACACAAATCCAAATATATAATATTTTTAATTTCTAACTATATATATACATATATATATATATACACTTCTCCCGTTTTCCGAACATAGCTTATCGACGTGACAATATGTGATTTGCGAGAGACCGAAGCTGCTGCCATCTTCAGGCCTATTCGCTAATCCCCTTGACCAGCTGTTTGCATTCGTTATCGACGTGGTAGTTTTTTAATCAATCGGACTATTTTCAATTACCTGTTTGCAAACATCATGATCCTCCAGATTTCTCGATCTGTTTCTTCTCGAATTCAGTCTGCGGATACCTTCGCGCGTTAGGCTGCACGACGGACAAGATGCACGACAGAAAATAAATACGTCAATGCGAATTGTAAAACGAATGCTTGTCGCAATGTCAGAAGAATTGGTCGTTAATATATCCGTGCCCATACCGACGTCGCGGTGATTAAGGCGTGGCTATCTTGGAGGGCCTATTTATAGCTGGATGTGCACACGACGACATGCTTTTCACGCGCGCGATCATGCAGAAAATGCAATTCATCGTTCGATAAATTAACACAAAATCGTGCGCCAATTGCGCCGCACGGTCGACATAATGGCGTGCTCGAAGAGATGCGATTTGTAGCCTACTTCAGTCTGCCTGTGAAAACAGTTGATGAATTTGCAACACAAAATTTTATTTTGCAATTTCACCACGTAATATTGTGGTGTGATGTGAAAATATTAGGAAATTTTGACAGGTGTATAAATAAATAAATAAATAAATAAATAAATAAATATATATATATATACAGTGTTCCAAAACAACCTCCAAAAAACTCTCGTGGAAACATAGTACAAATTAAAGTGAATATAAAAGTTCTATACCGTTTGACGATATGTGCAATAATTATCGAGGTATTAATTAAAAAAGATTTGTGAATAATCACACGAGATATGGTAGATAAGCTGTAGTAGCGACATCTGTCGTCGTGTACTTGTACAAGTTAAGTCAAACTCAACAAAAAAGTCCTCTATCTTTTTCCTAATAACTTTGTACATTTTTAGTTATTAATTAAAGAACATTAATATATATTGTCGCGAACGACCATCCATCAATTTTCTTTAATTAATAATTAAAAACTACAAAGTTACTAGAAAAATGGTGGAGAATTTGTTTGTTCAGTTTGACTTAATGTATAAGCACACGATGACGGACATGCCACTATAAGCTCATCTACCATATCTTGCGTGATCATTCACAAATCCTTAATATCTCGATAATTATTGCGCATATCGCAAAACGGTGTAGAATTTTTATGTTCTATAACTTTAATCTGTACTATGTCTTCACAAGAGTTTCGAAGATTGTTCTAGAACACCCTATATATACACATATATTTATATGATTTACACCATCTACAAATGTAATTGCGGTGCTTCGAAAATATTCTGTGGAAATAGAATCCTGTGTCCTCAATTATAGCACGAATTATAGATCGTCTAAAGTGAACTTGAATATCAGGTATGGATTTCGTTCCGGTTTAAATTTTAATTTGGCGTCGAGGAAAAGATCTTATGTAAAAAATCCTATGAGATATCAAACGGATGATACTTTAATCACGAACACGAAGTGTTTGTATAAAATATGACCAAAGTTGAATACATTATTTACATCAAAGTAGTTCTGTTAGATAATAGTTATGTTTCCATTCCCTTCAAGCTATCGCAGAAACTTGGATCTTTAGTTGAAGGAACGATCATAACATGGAATATTAAGAGTACAAAAGGACAGTTTCCTAGGAAAACATGTCACAGGAAATATTACTATTATTTCTTAAAAGTTACTAATGTTTGACATTAACTTCAATATGACTTTTTTCATGAGATCGTAAATTAAAATTCCCAAGAAAGTGAATCACCTGCATTTACAAGCTACTGAATAACAATAGATTCATATTAATTGTTTATCTTTTTATTAGCTTAAATTATGTGATTTCACATAAAATCACATTTTATTACGTGATTTCATAATAATGAATCACAAATGAATTCAAATAAAAGAGAAATAATTTAAAAATATTTAATCTTAATTGCAGTGATATAAAATAATAGAAAACGACACAAAGACAAATCTTAAAGTTGCTGAAAGATGTAAGTGCTGTTTGCCAAATGCTTCGAACATAATTTTTTGTAGAAATGCATCATGCGATTATGCGTGGCTTTCAGATTGTCACATTCTTCATAGATTTGTTTTCAAAATTTTTATGAATATTTCAGTCATTTCTTCAGCAGACTTCTTTAGTACCACTTTTCCAGTGAAGAAACGAGTTCAGTAAAGTGTTCTTCAGCAGAGTCGCAGATTGTTCCTTCGCTGAAGAAATCTCAAGAATACTAGAATGTTCACAAAACATCGAAATCAAATCCATGATGGACACGGTAGCAATTCGAAAGCTAGACCAAGCAATCGATTACGCAATCGACGTGTCCTTGTGAAAGTAACCTGAAGAACTTTCTTTCCATCTTGAAACAATATGCAAACATTGAAAATATCGAAACATGATAAGACGATGAAGCCTCTTTTATCTAAGCGTTATCTAATCGCTATTCAGTGTAACCTTTCCATCGTCTCTCATCGTTACCGCCCTCTTGTCATTACATAGCTCTCTATTATATCCCATTTGAAAATCCGCGCAATCGATCTCGAATGCATAGGTGGAGTCGATGAGAAGTCAATCTACCAACGATCCCGAGTGAAGTTAAGCGCGAATGTCAACGCGCGCATGCGCGTTCTTATCGGTAAAGTCGTGCGAATATCAAAATATCGAACGGACGTAACTCAATTCACAGAAGATAAAATCTCAAGATTTCTACGCGTTGCTGTTCCCCGACGAGAGATAATGATCGAAGTGCCATGTTTTCTTCCCTATAAGTCGTCGGGCCATTCTTGCCGGAATCGCGCGAGTGCGTGATTTGTCGGAAATTTCGCGCCTTTTATCTGCGACAATCGCGCGCGAGGTCAATGATGTCAATACGTTACTTCCGCGAGTCGTCGTGGAGAGAATCGTTTCCAGATACGAGCTGAACAAATATTAATACCGAGATCTGTCTCAATATTAATAATCAGTGATTATCTCGTTTAAACACGTCTCATAAACAAGTCTCTCGTCGCGAATATTAATCAGCTTTCGATGTTTCCCGCTATAATCGCCTACTTAATTAATCAGTCACGATAAACCGCCGTCCCTCTCTCTTTCTCTTCCTCTCTCTCTCTCTCCCTCTTTTGCGACGATAATTCGAACACCACCAATCAGAGTCATCACGCTCGCGACGGTGGCATCGAATCGCCAAAAAAGCCGCGTGGTTCATTAACAATTTAATTTTAGCGTGGCCGTCCTGGCGACATTGCAGGTGGAAAATAGAAGCGAAGGATCGATGGAGCTTATCCAGTCCCTGAAATCTTAAGTGTCTAATCGATAAGTTCGTCGCGTCGTCGTCACTTGTGAAGCGACGGATCGCGCGGCGAGCGTAATTCGGGGCTGCTCGAGAAATACGTTGACAAAGGAAGAAAGCGCTGGCCGATGAAACTCGCCACTCACGGCGTGCGTGCGGTGGACGTTACCCGTAGGATCGTTAAAATGCCATTAGGTCGACGAGAAGAAAGAGACGGTGCGATAGAAAGGTGCCTAACGTGCTCGTGTAACGGATGATGTAAGAAAATATTTATGGCACAACGATAGTGACAATGGACATTAACTATCAATCTCGTCTCAACGAGAGAAATCGGTCCGGCCGTCAAAGAGGCGTATGTGGCGAGACCGGAATTATCGTGCGTCGAGATACGCGTAGACTCGCTCACACGGGCGACTCTCGCCGATTTTTATCGTCTTTCGCACGAAGCAGTCGGAACTGTGCAATTAAACGCTGTGTAAACGAGAAAAAATACTTGACTGCATTGAAAAAAAATACTTAAAAATTTATTGGTGGCATTTAATATTTATCTCTGTGAAATAAATTTTCCTCTTCACGAAGTAAAACTGATTTCTATGAATACAACTTATGTCCCACGAATAAATTTTCAAACACTCCTTTCCATAATATGCTTGAACATCGCGGAATAATTGGCAGTTTTGATATATTGTTCGATCGCTGCGTGGTCCGAGTGAAGTTCGCCGCTTTTCGACTAGATGTCGAACGTATGAAAATCATTAATTCCCGATTGCGGCACAACGAGAGATGCAGTTGTCGTGATGTAAGCGTGTGCGGCTAGTTAATATTAAACTGAGGGGTTAACGTGCCGAGAGATAAGAAAGGGCGGTCTTCTGTCGCTTTCAGGACGACGTTACAAATCGCAATTTTTTACGGCCAAGTAGACGCCCCGGTGGCCTCGAATACGCTCTGACCCAACGGGGGCCCCATCATGGCATTCACGCGTCACGCCGCGGCAATTACTCGTCCCCCCTCTCAGTTGCTTCCATTTTCTCGACGTTAATTCGAGGACCGATCGGACGGACATCGAATATATTATAATCTACAGCGAATCTTTCGATAGGGAGCCCTCCTACTCCTGCCCCCTCCCCTTATGTATCACCGAACGATACGCGCCGGTATATTACCGGGCGGAGGACAGTGTGGGGAAAAAAGAGGTCAGCGGAGAGGGGGCGGGCGGGCATGAGAAGGAGGAGAAGCCGCGGTAGAGAGGGCATAGCAATGGACACTTCAGAGAGAAGAAGAAAGAGCGGCTTCATAGTGGGAAGAGAGAGAACGCTAAGGGAGAAAGAGAGATCGGGAAGACACGCAGAGTGGGAAGGGAACCAATCGTCGCGACGACTTCAACGCTGTGTGCGCGCGCGCGCGCAATACAGCTGGATGTGTATGTGTGCGTGTGTGGTGTGTGTCACACCAGCCAGATGGGAGCCGACATGGACGCGAGCGTCAAACGATGCACGCCCACATGTGCGTCCGTGCACCTACACGCGCACACCTACACACGCGCACGTAAGGCGCACGCGCGCGTCAATTCACGGACATCGACCGCATATCGCCGTGTGTGGCGGCGACGGGAACGACAGCTATATCGAGAACGAGAAAGTATGCGACGCGAGAGAGCGAGAGAAAAGGAGTCTCCGGGGGCCGCAGGGCGCATGCGTCGTTGCGGCCGACGCTGCGCGCCGTACACCGACCGCACAAGCCAGGCCAATTCCTCAGTGGCGGCCCGAATCATTAAGTTGTTTCCCTAGCAACCTCGCGCGACCCATACCATTGGCTGCGCCGCTTCCCCCACCCGCGCGCCCCCACACTCCGCTGGCGACCGGCTAACTCTACACACACGCACGCTACTGTATCGCTGTGGCGAGCCTCCTATCATTCGCATAGCATAGACGAGGGACTCTAGCGTTTCCCGCCGTTGCCCTTCTCTCCTTCCCGCTGGCTCGACCCCTTGCTAAGACACGCACACATTTCAGAAAGGGGTGACGCGCGCGCGTTCATGCAGGGACTTGGTTACTGGGATTGGTGCAGCCACGACTCTTCCTACCCTACGCGCGATACGACTCTTCCTATCGTCCGCGCCTTGCGTCGAAATCCGAGACCGGTATTGGGAGATGAACGATAAATCGGCCGTGTTTCGCGCGTTGGCGCGGCTCCCCTTTCTCTCTTTCTCTCTCTTCTTTTCATTCTTTTTTTTCGTTTTACTCACACATACACACATAAGGAATTCCGCCGAGGCGGAATTTCCATCTGCGTGGGCAGATTACGCGCGAGGGATTTTTAATCGACGTTTCTATCAATGAGTCGAGTGTGCGTAGAGAGGTAAATCGTGCGGCAACGGATGCTGAAAATAAAACGCCCGCCGGCGCACGGCGCGAGGGCAGACCCGTTCGCAGGACGTTCTATGTTATTTCGTCCCCGCTACGGTAGACGAGGGGCGAGTTTCAAGGGCCTTCGGTTTTGATCGCCGAAATCACGAGAGATTCTGCGTCCTTGATTCACGTGAGAATGGATCCTCCCTGCCTCGGGCGGGGCAAGATACATTATGCATGGAGGTCTCGCATCGAAATTAGAGCTTACTTCGATATCCATGGAAGCAACGCATATACATCTCAAGGACAAAAGGTGTTTGATTTTTTTTTCCAAGATACGCACCGAGAAAAAGTATTTCGAGGTATATTTCGTACATATCGATTGTATGTGTGCAAAAAATTTCTGCAAGAACGCATTGAACCATCGCACAAAGCTCGCAAGTTCCGAGTTTCGAGCCGGGGAACATAACTCGGCTCTTAGAGACAGTCACACCAGGGACGTATCGCGTGCGCGCAGACCCCGGTTACTCAATTTTATACGAGAAAGAGAGAGAACCAAGAGAGAGTTTATACAATAAGCTGATATGATATTACGATATTTCTAAAAATATAATATTATTATGTATATTGGTTATTTATTAGGTTGAATGTTATACCCAAAATATTTGTGTCACGCAGCCTAAATATATAAGAAATTGACAAATTTCGAGATACTGATTTAAAAATGAGATGTAAAAAGTATGGTAAAAATATAAGAAAAATAGTATAATCGATTGTATTACAATCGATTCAATATTTTGGGTATAAAGTTTTATGAGTAAAATGATTATAATGGATATGAATTTTCACATTGCGTAAAATAAACATTATTACAAATACATTCGGGAACATTACGTTTAATAAATGTTCATCACTGTAAATGATTGACAATCTTTGAAATATGACATTTTATAATAATTAATAATTGACAATCTTTGGAGTACGTAAACGTATCTCAAAACTTTGTATCTGTACCATCTTCTTGAAAAGGGGGATTATTTCCCCAGAGCGTCAAATAAATAACACCCTCTCTTTCTCCCTTTTCTCCCCGCAGACAGCTGGACCCAGAGAGTATGATTAAATTGAACAGAAAGGTTTAAAATTTCGCATGGATTTTTTATTGTCCTAGCATAATTTAAATGATCAAATATTTTATGGCTCATTTTAATATCCATTTTTTATATATTTAATTTAACAAAAAAGTAGATTTCTCAATTATGATAGTATTTATATTTATCTACGTGTAAATAATATTCAGTTAAATTTATGGTAATTTTATCTAATTTTTTGCAAAATAATGTAACTCATTAAGTATATTAGAACGTGTTTAACATAAAAACCGAAAATCCTATTCATGAAGTTATGATTGTTATGTAAAGTTCTCGATAGTAACTGACGTTATTAACGATCAATTCTCAACTCCTTACAATACACAATAATATTAATAACTATTATAACCATTATAACAATTATATCATTAATATTTTTTTAGAAATATAACAAATATGTAATATATTATAAATAATGTTTACAAAAATTTGCTCAAATATAAAGAATTACTCATATCTATTATCTCTGTATTTCATAAATTTTGCAATTTGTAATAAACATAATACATAAAACGAATATATATGCCATATGGAAATCGTACGTGTAATGATTTAAATAACAACTGCACAATAATTTGACGAACTACAAAATAAAGAAAAAATTTATGTAAGTTCGAATAAATATCGATATGATTCAACTTTCACTCGGAAATAAACGTGACAGATCAAGCTAACTACCAAGAATATGTTTTATAGTCGACATTCGCGCTATCTCTCGAAAATATTTTTAAAGATTATATGAGATACGAAAGCTTCGGGGTGTACGAAAAACTCAGTACGTCCCTACACGAGGCGTTATATCGTAAAGAACAAAGCGGGACTATACCGTCGTGTACGTATACGCCCGTTCACCCACGAGTGTGTGCGTGAGTGCGCGTGAAACGACCGCTAGGGAGCGGTGAGAGATGCGGGGAGAGAGCGAGCGGAGTACCGTTAGTGAGCATGCGCCTATAGCCATCATACTCAATGGCCCCGCCTTTCTCGCTGCGAACGATGCCTTTGGGATTTGTCCCCGTCGAACCAATCAGCGAGCACGATCGACGCGGTACAGCGCGCACGACGGCAAGCGGGATGCGCGGGAACGAGGGAGTGACTGGAAGGGATGGTCGCGTCGGGGATGTGCGGGCACGACGGGGACAGTCGTGTTATACTGTGTGGGAGCAGCCAGCAGCAGCAGCAGCAGTAGATACGGCAGCAGTATAAGTAAACTGCTACCAAGTACCACGAACGAACGAACGGACGACGACGTCGTCGTCGTAGTGATTCTTTCTACTAATAAACTTGATCGCGCGAGTACGCAACAGCGAAAGTGAAAAAGTGGAAACACAACGAACAGAAGAATCGTGTTCTCGCCGTGCACAGTGCGGGTCGTTCGACACCACTATACGTATAGACTCCCGCACACATTCATACAACGCACAACCACACGCGCAGCCGCACACATACACATTCCGGGAGTGCTCGAAACGTGCATCATATAGACGTGACTGCGCAGTCGCCATGTGAGTACCTGAATAGGGCGAGATGTCCGTGTAGAAAGCTTCCTCGACTCGTGGCGGTGTCGTCGTTGTCGTTTGTGTGTCGGGGCCGTCGCGCAAAAGTGTGCACCTCTTCCTGTTCCTCGGTGCTGTGTACTGCACGCGCACTTGAGAGGATTTTGTCAAAGCAGGAGCGCTTGCACTGTAGACTACGGCACTGACGATGACAATCCTCGCCGAACGCGCAACGGTCCGTCGATACGGAGCGACGCGACGTGCTGCTCGATACACTGTATGTGTGTCCTACCTCTGTTTCGTTCTCTCTTTTTCTTGTAGTTCTCCCTCTCTGTCCATCTACTTTTACTTCGACTGCTCTCTTTCTCCCTCGCACACCAGTCCCGTCGTTTCTCCGAACGTGCTTTATTTTGTAATCCAATATGTCGGCACTGCGAGACGCGTCGCCGTTGCTCCCGATCCACACGAGGTACTGACTAGACTGTACTGCCACTCGGACGCGTGTGTATAATGCGTGTGCGTGCGTGCGTATGTACGTGCAACGTGTGCCATTTTATCGCGTGCACGACAGCGAATGTTTCTCACGCGACGTTTCTCGTTCTCGAAGAGAGTCCGTTTTTCGCGCGATGCACCGCGTGTGCTCTTGCGTGTCGTCGTCTTATTATTCTTATTATATTGTCCGCTGTAGCCGTCGTTTATATGGCCATTATGGCGAGAGATCCATGTCAACCGCCTCCCCCTGGCACAGTTGTCTTCTCCCTTCTCCCTATTTTTCTCCCCCCTTCGTATATCCCCTTCTACTTCTTACCAACCCGCCTTTTAATCCCGCATTTCCCGCTCTCGCGTTCGGATCCCTATGCCCTCTCTGCTTATCCCCCCTCCTCCCCCCTTTTTCGCTCTGTCTGGCATCGCGACGCTAATTATGGTGGATATATCGGCCGGGGGCGACATTTTGTTCGTTCGTTCACACGCACGCACGCAACGCACGCATGCACGCACATGCCAAAATGGATATTGCCGTCGACGGCGTCCGCACTGGGATCGATATTCGCGACGCTTTTTATTCAGGCGACGGGGCCTACAGAACCCTATCTTACCGTGCGAGTTGCTTTGCGTCAGAAGCTTCACACTCTTTCTCTTTCTCTCGCTCGTTCCCTGCTTTTTCCTCTCACTCGTGCCTCTTCCGCGCTTCTCTATATATCCCTTATTCTTTCTTCCCTTTTTCTCCCCAAAAGTAATATCGAACTCCAGGTATCGCGCTTACCCTACTGAGCCACATTTCAAGTTGGAATGCACTTTGATATCCCACATTCCGATTGCGTTGTTGACGCAATTGCTGTTAAGTCGATCATAAACATAGATTTTCAATTGGACAAAGAAAGTAAATATGTTCTCTAAAAGTTTGTACGATATCTGGCTTATTCTAGGAAAACAGTCGACGAAAGCAACCATTTTGTGGTGCAAACTTAACGATATTTAAAGTTAACTATGACGAAATATAGATATTAGAACATCGTGCAGCTGGTTTAATTAAATTTCCTAATAAAGCATTATTATACACGAGATGTTCTCGTATGTAAGAAACTTTCACGTGTCTTCTATCGAAAGCACGTACCAATAGACGCGATTTCTTTTCGATACACAATGGAACAGCCATACATTAGACATATAACCTATAAATGGTATTTCGTTAATTTTTCAATTCCCGCAATAATAAAACCGGAGGAATGTTCCGCCAATAACTATATTCGATCAAGATTGAAGCATCAAACTTGATATCAAGTGAATAAATTACCAAATATTGATTAGATCAATAAAACCATATGCCTGTTCTATTCCATCGCGTACTGGAATTGCGTGATGTGTAATTATCCGATATATCCGTTATTTCGCGCGACGCCAATAAGAATACACAACGAACGGTTGATTATTTTTGAGGAACTTACTTTGTTATGCCAAACGATAGTCCCTACGGACACAGTCGCGAAGAAACGTGCGGCACGGTGCACTTCACACTCTCAAGCAGCTGCACAATAACCTCGCTAGTGACGATTATTTCAGCGTCGTAATGTGACAAGTGTGCATATTCATATCTGTGAAGGTTATCGTGTGGTCACATGTATCACATAAAGGCTACTTCACACTTTTTTTACGATTTTTTTTATAAATTGAACGTTAGAAATATATATTTATTAACACAAATACATATATAATATTGAGAAGGGAAGCAATGTGTTGTAATATATTAGCAATAACACAAGTATGTGAAACATGATCAAAGTAGTTAGACTAATTTCAAATCTAAATTTGTTTGCATAAGAAAAGTAAATTATTGGCAAAGTTAATATATACTCTTGATGCTTCAGTGCTGAATAAAAAGTCTGATTTTGTAGAAATATGAATTAAATTTTAGGTTGAATAAACATCGTGTGTTCAAACATGTATATTGCATGAAAAATAGATGCAAATAACTGAGAATCAACATTTGTGCATTCGGTCTGTTTTTACAGGGGCACTACAATGAAAAAATTAAAACCAATGTGAATATATGTGTAAAATGGCAACAAAAAGAGAATGCAGTTGAACATTGTCAGCGACGGATACTTCTTTTTCTAATAGAGTGTCAGTACTCTAATTTCGAAAGGGCTTAAGGAAACATGACAGATGTTAAACCAATTGGAATTTCGTCATCTCAACAACCTCAACAGCAGCAACAGCAATCACAACAGCAATCTCAACAGCAGCAAATGATGATTGCCACCCATGAATTACAACAACAGAATGTACAACAGTCACAGCAATCGCAACAACATGTGCAGCAACAACAACAATCATCTCAGCAAGTACAACAGCAATCTCAGCAGGTGCAGCAGCAACAAGTGCAGCCGCAACAGCAGACACAGCAACAAATGCAGCAGCAGCAACAGCAGCAGCAAACACAACAAAACAATGGGCAGCACAATGTTGTTCCTACTCAAGTTCAAGTGCAGTCACAGGTAGCTGCTAGTATGCCGCAACAACAGGTATATTTTTTCTTTATCGTATCTTCATTATACTTTATATCATAATAATATCTCTTATTTATTACTCATTGTTAACTCTATTACAACTTTTCCCCAATCTGTTTTAAGATAATATATTTTTAGTTACTTTTATATGTATTTTGCACATGTAATTACTCTATTTACATTCTGTTGTTAAAACAGTTGCAAGGTGCTGTCGCGGTGTCAATGCAGCATCATCAGCAGCAGCAAGGTGGTGTGTCCATGACCTTATCAGGTCAACAGGGCGCCACCACCATAACTACTATGGCTGCACATCCGCAAGCTGTCCAAGTGATTCAACAGCCAATACAGAGTCAAGCTTATCATTTACAACAGTTGTACAATACTCAAGGCACACCTCTGATAATGCCAGGAAATCTGGCTCTCCATCCAGCGGGTATAAATCCTTCTTCTATACAGGTATAAATCTATTAATTCTCACTTATGAATCTCATACAGTAAGAAACATTGTTCAAAGTTACAATGATCGTGTATACACTTTACAGGTGATAACGGCTGGAAAGCCATTTCAATCTGCAGCTCAATTGACTCCACACATGTTGACCACTGCATCAACAGCTGGACAAGGCGGTGCGCATCCAGCTGCTGGTGGTACGAAGGTTCAAGGTTTTCCCGCTGGTTACTTACCAGTACCCACTTCGGCTACTCCGGGAGCGGGTCAGACATTGGTGTTTGGCCAACTGGATGTACTAGGTTCTCCACAACCTCCACAGTCATTGCAGCAACAACAGCAGCAGCAATCTACCAACAAACAAGACTCAGTTCAAAAAGTGATTAACTATAAATTCTGATATTATCAGTAAATTAAAAAGTACATACAACGAGCAAGTTATAATTATTTAAATAAGATATCAAAGAATTTTGACTCTATAAAACACGAATATTCTTTACACACACATACACACACACACACGCGCGCGCGCGCGCACACACACAGAGAGAGAGAGAGTTGAAAAAAGTTCAAGATACATTTATACAGGGTAGAAAAAATACTTAGTAAATATAAATCGAGAAACCAATGTGTTTTTAGAGTTACAAATGTTTTTCGATTTTGATAATACAAGTTATTATATTACGAGTTATTTGTGCGTTTATAATTCATAATTACTTTATATATGCGGCAGGATCTTTTACAAGAAATCAATTAAAAATGAATATTCGTTTCAGTATTCTAAATTCTAGTGTCACAAATAATGATATGCAAATTGTAAATATTAAAATGCTAGTATCTATATATAATGTATTATGTTGTGAACAGTACACAACATGCGCTGCTGGGACACCATCAGGCGGAAGAAGTACCGGTATGCAGTTCGCGCCATGGCAATTCGCACCTCAAGTATGGACTGCGGGATTACAACCACCGACAATTCTCACCGCTGCACCGAATCAAATTTTCCTTAGAGGTCCGACACAGCCTGATATGTTCATACAGAGTCCTCAGCCGATTCAAGCTCACAATGGTTAATATTCTCGCTATTCGTTAGTAAATTTAGCTGCTTTAAATCCGAGCTTACGTAGACCTTTTTAATATTTCCATCTTAATGCTAGCGAGTTTTTATCAAAAAGAAGGTAATTCGGAAAGAAGAGGGATTTATTTTAATTTCTATTATTAATTTTTTATATTATTCTGCGAAAATAGCTCTAGCAACGCAACAGCAAATCCACGGTGTGCAACAGATCGCAGCAGCCAGCGGAAAACCTAAAGTGATGGACATTCAGCAGCAGCAGTCGCAACAGACTAAGCCGGGTGTAACTGCGCAGCGGCCGTTGAGCATTTTACCTTCTTCTTTGCAAGTACAAGCTGCTAACATACGTGCAGCTAGTTCTGTTTCCACGCAGACAGTTCACGGAGTTCAAGCTACGGTACAAGCACAGGTTACTATTACTAACATCGGCACGCAATAATAATAGTGGAGATTATTTTGAATGCTGCAAAAAGGACAAGCGCCCAATTTCACAATAATGAAAATTATTGTGTAAAATAATTGTAAAATTTTTAAGTGTTTCAAGCTACAATTATTTATGTTATTCTATCAGCGTAAAAAATTGAGTTCTGTAGTATTTCATATTTGTATATTTTGTTTCTTTGGTTTCTATTTCATGGCATATTTCGTGATATTTTATGCAAGTATATATTGATTTATTTCCCAATTATGCGTTGCCTTGTGATTTAACTGTTGCTTTATTGGTAATAAATTATTATTTTGTGGCTGAAAGATATTAGCATAGGTTATAACATTTTTGTTTACTTAAATGTTCAGAGTGGTAAGACCACTGGTAGTACTGGAAAAGGTCGTAAACCTATGCAGGCACCACAACAACAGCAGCAGCCACAGCAGACTGCACCATCGATACAGCATCAGCTTGTCTTCATACAGCAGAAACAACACACGCAACAGCAGCAGCAGCAGCTGCAACAGCAATATCAACAACAAGTGCAATCTGCCCAGCAGCAAATACAACCTAAACCTATCATGAGTAAGAATATTTATTCAAAGTAATCCTATCAGTGTGTGCGTGCGTGCGTGGTGTGCGTGCGTGCGCGCGCGTGTGTGTGTGTAAAACTTATACATATTGTGCTTATTATTATCATCATTTGTTATTTAGCAAATATGACGCTGCAACAACAACAACAACCCGGTGTAGTTTTGGGTGCGGAACGTCCTATCATGCCAGTTGTATCAGTGGGTGGAGTTGGGGTCGGAGTTGCCACTACATCACAGATGAATCAGGTGCCACAGACTGCCATGTCAACTGTGCAACAGCTTCCTTTATCGGTACACAAAACTTTCATAATTATAATTTTCTATCATAACAAATTAAACAATATTAAAGAGATGCGCCTCTTATCGCATATTTTCTCTTTCTCTTAATAATTTAAATTTCCTATGGATTAGCGAAAATTGATAGAAGTTTTAGCCATAATAATTTGAATATCAGTAACTAAACATATATGTATTATTTGTTTCAGGCTATTAATCCAGCAATTATAGGTAATCAAATATTGAGTGGAGCGTCGCAAGTTCAGGCAATGCCGATCGTGAATGCGACGCAAGATCAGCAAACGCAGGATAACACTAATTCAACGGTGATGATTGCATCGCCAGAGCGTAATTCCTCGCAAGCAGAATGTTCATTGATGCCCACTACGAATTCATTGATAGGGAACGATGATACACTAAAGACGTTACTGTCGAAGAAAGACGAAGTGTGTGTCACCGCGGAGGAAATCGCTATACTTCCGATAGAAATAGCAGGTATTAATTAATTTTCTCACCAATATTAAGAGCCACGGATGACTCAGTTGTGCCGTAATTAGCGACGCGATTGAGTAGAGGCAGAAAGTAGTAAACCAGCGTGGACCGGTTTACATACATTCCGTATGTATGATTGCGAAAGTGTCGAACGAATGAAGGCTTCAATACGTTTAATAAAGGTCAATACGTTTAATAAAGATCATAAAAGTGTCTTTAACTGTTTATTTGTAGATGGGGACCAATGTAAACTGATACTAAAAGATGACGAAGTAATTGTCCAGAAAATAGAAGAGAAACAGTGCAACAATCCGTTAGCAGGTCTTGCCAACGCTGTGAACGCGATTACGAATGGAGTGAGCGGCGATGAATCATCGAATATGCCGGCCTCTGTACCAGCTCCAGTAAACAGTAAACAAGCACCACCCAAAGCTATGGTGAAGCCGCAAGTCCTTACGCATGTGATAGAGGGATTCGTAATACAAGAAGGTATAAATACATCCTTTATCTGTATTGTCGTATTTGAATTGCACTTTAGTTACATTAGATTATAGCTGCATTCGGGAAGACGTTATTTAGCGCTATGAGTGCGCTCTGTCCTTATTTGTCTTGTTTCTGAAAGTTAAACAAGGACAGAGGACGCTCGTAGCGTTAAATAGCGTCTCCCTGAACGCAGCCTGTACAATGTCAGAAGCAAAATGTCATGCAAATCTTCTGTACATTCGATTGCTAAACAGTTCTCATATGTTTTCTTGAATGAAGTTGCGACACTTCAAATTGTTCAAATTGGAAAGCCATTGCTAATATGTATGTGCAGTAATCGGTTATGACAAGAGTCGAAGAGACAGTAGTAGGGTGTAAAATTTAGAAGAAAAAATTTATTTTGAATTAAGAGAACATTATTTTGATAAATAATTTTTATATATTTGTAATCGATTATTGTGTACGCACAAACATATGTCAGCAATATTTGTTTCAATTTTGATAACTTGATGCGTTGAAACTTCATTCAATAAAGAGTATGTGAACCGTTTATCAAGTGTACATGGAATTAAATTATTCCCTGTATCACAGCGTCAGAACCGTTCGCAGTAAGTCAAGATAATAATAACACTCTTAATCGGAATAACACGGCTACGGAAAGAGAGGCTCTTGAGGAACCACCAAGTAAGCCGACTTATTTCTCATTAATGTGTCAATATGTCGTGCATTTGTAAATTTAATACTTCAATTTGTACTGTAGGAAAGAAACACATTCCTAATTATCCAAGTGAAGAGGACGAAAGCAGCAAAACGACGAGTAAATGTGAAAATTGCGACAAGATAATCGACGATCAGAACATCAAGCTGAAGAAAGAAAAGAGATTTTGCTCGTCACTGTGCGCAAAAGGGTGAGTGTTTATGCACTGATAACTCGGCATGCGAAATAAGTATCGTAGCGCCTTATTAATATGCGAATATAAAATGTTAATTGTTGATGCAATAAAACTTAAAAATTATATATATTATCCACAGCAAAAAGCACGAATCGCATGATCGCGATATTAAGCTGGAGAAACAGTGGACCGTAGAGAGTGAAAATAAAACGGTCGATAATGATGTAACGAAAAAGAACGGCGAGGAGAGAATGAGCACCACTTCCTCCATCGATGAATCAGTGCCGAAAGTGAACCCGATTAAATGGACGGTAATGAAAACATTTTTCATATACACGTACATACGTTACGGAAGAAAAAATATACTCAAACGATGATGATGGACAAAAAAAACTTGATTTCGCAGGTGAACGAAGTGTGCGACTTCATACGTGGTTTACCAGGATGCGCCGATTACGCGGAGGATTTCGCTATTCAAGAGATCGACGGTCAGGCTCTTATGCTACTGAAGGAGGATCACCTCATGTCCGCTATGAGTATCAAATTAGGTCCTGCACTGAAGATTGTAGCCAAGATCGATTCAATGCGCGTAGACACGAATTCTAGTCCCACGTCGAACAGCTCGTAACTAGGCTCAGCCGCAGAAAGCGGCCACTTCTATGGTGTTGATTTCTAGTTTACGGGCTACAGGGTTTTGTGCAAGTGCTCGACCGGATATAAAATTTATAAGATTAGCAGTTTCATGATAACAATAGAGATTTAAGCGAAAACATCGGTGAAAGTGAACCTCGTGTCAAAGTGTATCGTAGTGTGTCGAAATGTGTTTCGTCAGACTTTCTACAGCGCTCGCGGATACACGTTGTTTGACTGACAAAACGGTTTGTACGATTTTATTTTACTCTTTTTTTTTTATAAGTTTTTTCGTAAGAAAGCTGTACGTGAAATGATGATAATAACAAACGTTGTTCATCTTACGAACGAGATAAGAAGACTTCGTGTCATCATTGTCGTCAAAATCGAGACATTCATAAGTTGCAAAGAAACTCTGATTTTCTTTATGGATGTCCGTTCTTTACGGGACACGTCTTACCATAATATCTCCTTGTTTAATAACGAGGATGTTTATTTTATGACGAAGAATAAGAGGATTTATGTGTACTGTACGTACATACAGAATGTTTGCAAATAGCACTTTCAAAAAGTGTTCAGTCAAATAGTCTTCGCATAAGAATAACTTTTCTAAAGATCGAATCTCGATCGCATGTTACTTGAAGAGCATCGTCCTATACTATTGGTTCGATATAATCAATTCTCTGACGAAGAGTTTAGCTACATGCTGTGACGTGACAATTTTCAGTCGTTCGTTACACAATAGCACGATCGTCTTCGAAATGCTTTGCATTCAACAGAGAGAACAAATTTTACGACTGTTATGAGATTTTCTGCTGAATGTGCGTTCGCATTTCATATGTTCACTAAACAGTCGCTATTATTTCTATCTTCAATAATTAAAGGTACATTTAGTGAACGCAACGTGTGTTGTAAAACATTAGTAAATACAATCTAACAAAATAATAGCGTTCAGGAGAATTTCAAATTACCGATGGCACGGCTATACGAAGCTCGTTGATATAGTGACTTGACTTCTACTGAACACAACTATAGGCTATATAACAGTTGAGTAAGTATTTACAGTCATTAAAGTATTCTTATAGATTTATCATGAACTTGATGATTTATCATAAACCTAAAAATATATCTCTCAATCAGAATAATAACTTAATAGTACTGTTGAGTTACAATAGTAACTCAATAGTGACTCAACGATTGCAAAGCTAAATGCACCCATTGATACTGTAGTACATTAAGTGTTATATTTACACAAGCAGTCATGCACGAGATAGAATTTATATCGACTGATATTCAAAGACATGTACATAAATTATCGATAATCATGCGCAGAGAAAATAAAGCATAAGGAATTTCATTTTATACATATTCACACGATATCTACAAACGTCTCTCCGGAGATTTGCGGAATCTGGTGAAATAATTGCTTAGAATATACATATATACATGTGCACTAAAAACATGAATGAAATTATACAGGGTAGCGTAAAAAAAGCAAACGGTTGTTAAACATTTACAAAAATTTTATTCTCAAATTTTCAATTTATTTCGACATGGAATTATGAGGTATAATTTACGAAGATTTTCCCTGATCTTCTTTATAAGAGGTTTGAAAAGAAAAAGAAAAATTAAATTTAAAAAGTTATTAATTTTTTAAACCAGTTTGTTTCTTTTACGCGCCACCTTGTATTATATACGTATATTCTGAAAGCAAAAATTGTACTGTCGACGGGAACAGAGTACAAATTGCGTCTACATTACGCAGTAGAAAACACTGTACATACAAAGCAAAAACATACAACGTATTTTGTATTCAAAAATATAAATACTTGTGGTGTGATGTATAAAATGCATTGCCTTTTGTACGATTTACCAGTAGTTTCGCGACAATATCTGACGTCTACCTGTCTCTTCCTTTTTAAGCATTACTTTATCACTAATTCATATTAAATTTATAACACAAAAGTGTTTGTCATATTGTCATATAGAAGATTGCTTATCATAATACATTCGTATGCACATTATTGTAAATGTCACATTGCATACTCGATTGATATATACGTGTAAATAGTAAACTAAATGTTTATTTAATATACAGATTTTTTATATAATACGAAAACTTAGTTATGTTGCTAAAAATTATTTTTCCAGTCTCGTGAATCTTAGTTTCTTAATGAAAAAATAAAAGATATAAATGACTATCGTGCGTGTATAAGAATTTAGATTTCCGTCGTTAGAGATATGATAGCATAATTATACGATAAGTCGAAAAAAAGTTACATTACCTTCAATGTTGAACGACGTCTTTTCAGCGATAAAAAGCAAAACGAAAGCTTATCACCTTGCTATATCTTCGATATTCAATATTAATATCATACTGATCGTACAAAATTCAATGATGTTAAGTATTCTAAAGAGGAGCAGACATTACTGTTTTTATATATGTCTCTTACTGTAAGATTAATTTTATACTTTAATATATTGTACAAGGCAGCCGCAAAATGTGTTCTAAATTCAGTACTCATCATTACGTTTTAAGTACCCGGTGATTTGCTATGCATTTTATACAGACATTAAATGTATAGTTTTAGTATATCCTTTTGTATTTTAAGAATATTTTAGTGAAGGAGGCAATATAATGCTCAAAGATACTTGTATATTATGCATTATTGAATTTGCCCCGCGCTTTTATTCATGCCTATGATAAAAAATAGATTATATGTGTAAAAAAAGATAGAAGAAATAGTTTCTGAAATTATAAAATTCAACAAAATTAAGATTCTATAAAAGCCGTGAAATTATTATAATTCTATAAAAATTATTACGATTCTATAAAAGCATTAAATTTATATATATGTGTGTGCGTGCGTGTGTGTGTGTACACATATATAAGTGCATTTTAATTGTAATATTTCAATGTAGATGTATACATTATAAATAATATAATGCATTGTCTGAAATATCTGCACTGATATATTACAATAAAGTGTATTTAGACCTAACGTGTGGCTTTTATAGACTCTTAATAATTAGATTGTGAACATCATTCTATGCACCGTACTTTCTCATTGTATAAAAATTTCTTATCTCAGGTCCGATTGCGCCAGAAATGATTATACATTTGTATAAAATAAACGAATTTTTTGCTCGATTTCGACATTCTGGGCGAGGTTTAGGCATTTAGATTAATGCTTATCAGAACTGACGCAATCGGACCTTGAATGTCAAAATTCAGACTAAAAATTGAAAGGTTCAAAATTTCGCATTAATCTCAACGAAGTTTCGAAGTAACTCAGGGCCAAATATTTCATAATATACTTTTTATACAATAGAAATAAACTCTGCTGACGTAAAGCCAAATTATTATTGTATATTTGTGAGTAAGCAGGTAATAGTAACTATAACCGAAATTACTTGAATAAAATAAATACTATGAATCATGAGTGAATTAATATAAATACAGGCTCCTATATAATTTAAATTTTTTTTACTTATCAAAATTTTTTTTAACTTATTTGAAAATTTAAATATTACTTTTTCTACTTATTATGTGAATTGTTAAATAATCTACATGATGAGATTTATTTACAGATCATAGCTGCAAATTTAAAAGATCATTAGAAGTAAATTGTTTTGCATTTAATTTTATTTCTTACAGTTATATAATGAAGATTACATACTCTGACTACCATCAGATGACATTATATCCTACGTTGACAATTCTGCATCTGCATCCGAGGATGCTTCTATATTTTTGCCCTCACTTAAGAGTTCTTCTTCATTTAATTGATATTGTAACTTATGTAACGGTCGAATATATCGAAAATACTCATATATTTTGTAACCGAGAAAAACTCCGCCGGCCATGGTGACAGCGATGCAAGTATTTACAAAACCTTTGTGCAGCTTGTCGTATATCCTGTCCCTTCGTTGCCTTTTTCGCAAACTCGCGTCCATCGTGCACAAATTATTACTTCGTACGTCCTCAAACGCAAGTTTCTTTTTTGTCTGGAAATATTGCGAAATGAAATTCTTCATGGACTTCGAAGATAACCTCAAAAACGCGACACAAAAATACCGAGAAATAGGATTACATACATGAGAGATATCGGCTGCTTAAACTCGTCGTTTTTTTTATGGCTGTTACTTGTTTTAATTTGTTTTCTCCTGACAATTTCTTAATTTATATTTTCAAACTAACCACTGATACTTTGCACCACATGTAATCTTAAGTCTGTATCAAACTACTCATTAAGGGGTCTGTTCTTTGCAGTTACACTTTTTCAACTGTCATGGAATATTTTTATTTCTTCTTCCATCAAATGTCAAAAGTATACATTCTAACTTTATCTTAAATATAGAATGTATAACTCAGTGCAGCTATAAAAATAGGGAGCTGTGAGGATTGAAATATATTAAAGCCTAACCTAACCCCAATCCAGGATAAAGTCTAAACTCCTTTGCCAATAGATGCATAACTTGATATAAGCTTTATTTTAACCGAGATACAGAAGGCAAATATTTTAAAAAATTTTTTAATATATCAATTTATTTTATTTCGGTAAAATTAAAGAAATTTAACAAAATATTTTTTTCACACATCTATTTTCTTGCTTTAAAGCAAATATATATGAAGTAGAAATCTTATACTGTAATCTGTGTTAAATATTACACACACACATACACACAAACAATAAAGTAATAAATCAAATATATAAGGGATCATATAAAGTTCTATTAAAACTAGTTTTACCTAAAAACTAGTCTAGGCGGTGATATATACAAAATCGTGGAAGAATTTATATCAAAAATCATTTTTCTGCTATTATTATATTAAAAAAGTTGAACTGTCAAGTCACAGCCCTGACACACCTAATTGTAGGAAATGCAGTAAAAAGATTCTTTTCTGTCACGCATAGGATTTTGAAACGAGGAGCGTAATTGCAATTATGCTTTTTACACACTCAATCCCTTTGCTTCTAATTTTCTAGAAACTCGTCAAATATTTTTGTATCAATATCTAATACTATTTCATCCAGAGATGGACCTTGCGAGGAAAGTGGTAGCTCTAAAAATTAATAGATCAATTAATACATTCTCTTATGTTAACAAATATTTTTCAAATTATTCTTTTTTTAGGAAAACGTGGAGAAATGAAGACATACTTGGTATAGATCCAGTTGCTTTGTATTCTTCAAGATCTTCCTTGAAAACTTCTTCGAAAGTTTCTCGCCGTTCTTTCAGTTTTTTTTGCTGTTTTAATTCATGTTGTGAGATTCTCTCAATGTGCTCGTTAGCTAATTTTGCTAAAAGAATTTAAAGTGGATAACAGAATGCAGTTCTCAGTCAAATATAGAGGAATATATTGTTTCGCAAGATGTACCTTTAAAATTATTTAATTCTAACAATTTCTTCTCTTTGTACATAGCCAACTGAAATCTGTGCTCCAGCTGCCTATTTTGTAAATCTAGCATTTCATTGAGATCTTCCAATCGATACAAAGCTCCCTCAACTTCCTCAAACATCTCTTGCAGATTTCCTTAGACATAATAAATGATTTTAGGAAACTTCTCTTATATTATAGTATTATATCTTTTCAGAATATCAAACTACCTATTTGGTCCATGAGATCTTGAATTGAATTATTAATCTTTGGAATGTAGGCTAAAGTACTGTTTAAACAAGTAATACTGTTCCACTCATGTTGAAGCTTTTCGTAGATGGAAGATATCAGTGTGTCTGCTTCCTGAGCTTTTCCTGCATTCTCCTCTGCAAGCTCGTGAAGCTCATTCCATTGTAATTGGAAACGATGCAATACATCTGCACCAGCATCATAATTTACATTCCGTACATTGATTGGCTTTTTATTCTTTGGCTTTTCAGTGCTGGACAGTCCTCGTATACTGAAATAATTTCCTATTATGAATCTTTGAAATTTGTTACTGTTATTATCTTTCTTAATTTATTTCTGGCATTCACATAACTCATAAGTGAAATCCAATATTATGTCCAATATTTCATATTACATGCTGCTATCAATTTTACCAGAACAGTATGCCACCAGTTATGTTAAATTTACATTGAATTTGCATGTAGAAAAAGAAAAAAAATAACAAGAAATACGTCAAATGTACAAAGTGCTTTACCTAGCAGATATGCCTTCTTGAACTGTTTGAAACTTGCTACGCAGTGATCCAAACATGCTTCACTGGCTCGTAGTAATCATTCGTTATCAATTAACTTCAAACACAATCTCAGATCTGACTGTTTGCACTGCGAAAAAAACAATCTTATGAAGAATATTATTACAAATATCCTGATCAAATGAAGCGTAAGAAAGTACGTAGAGGCAGTGAAAGTATTGCGTGACAAAGGTTGTGTTTACCCGTGTTATCAGTTGACAAGCGACCGTTACGAAGCCGAATTGTTCGGAATAATGTTTATAGAAGCATGCACTGGACATTAACCGATTTACAACAACGTCCCCTTTGCATCTGCGACTCAAAGCGAATAACTATCGAACTCAGAATATAGTTGTTGAAAAGACAATCAAATTATATATATATTATCAGAGAGACGACAGAAATACGTGATACCCGACGACTACGTCGGTAATTTGAGTCTCGAGCACTCGCGACGATATCGACCAATGCATCAAATCGAGCATTTGATTGTGTAATCGCGCTCCAGATGGCGGCACGGCGAACAAGAGGCGCAGCCTCTCGACAGCGCCGCTTGGCGACACTGCGGTCGCAGAATCCGCATTCGAAGCAATGCGCTTATTGTACCTCCATTATTCTTACTAACTATCCAGGGGCGACTATCCGGATCAAGGAAAACTACGCCCAGGTAAACGGTCTACGCAGGCCGGATTTACATAACTCGAGACGTTGAGGAATACGAAGAATCTATTTTTCTCCGACGAAGTTGCATATTCATATATAAAATTCTAAAATAAAATCTACGCGACACTGCGGCGACCTTGCAAGCTCATGAATGCGCCGCTCGAGCGTAGCGTCGTTTGCAAACTTTGATGAATATTGAAATTGGAGAGTAAATAAAGTGTAAACGAAGAGTGACGGAAGTATAAGTGAAGCGCTTACAATGCGTAAATTGAAACAACGGAACGTAAAGCAAGTACTTTACGTTCCGATGTTTCAATTTACGCTTTGTAAGCGCTTCACTTACACTTTCGTCACTCTTCATTTACACTTTATTTACTCTCCAATTTCAATTTTCACCAGAGAACGCAACGTATTTTAGGTATATCTCGCAATTGTCGATCGGAGCGCCCTAAGTTGTGTTTTCTTATCGCTCATAAATCCGACATTTCGCGAGCTTCTGTCGGTCTCGTCGGTTTTTTAGCTTTTCATGACGCTACCGGGCACCCACTGCTCTTGAGCCACCAAAGGTAACTTTAGTCGTTGAGAGTCGTGGAGAGCTCTGAGAAACGGCAACGGGAAATTCAATTTGAGCATACACGTTAACACACTTCGCCTCAACGTACAACGTATGTATACGCGTCGAGAAACGTCGGAGGGAAAACGGTACTTCCTACGCTTTATGCCCGCGCTAAAAATAATCCGTAGCTTTATATAGCAAAGCGCTCGCGCAAGAGAAGTCGGCTGCGCGCCGGCTATTTCTGTGGCAATTGTACCGGTCATCATAATTGCCGCAAATTACAGCGAGTTGAAACGTCGTCGAGATGATCGCGCAGTAATAAAAAATATATCAGATTTTGATTTCATTTTCTCGACCGGCATACTCTACATAATTCATGTCGCGTGATTGCCATTACCCCTCCCCCCCGCACTCTTTTGGGTGCAACTCTTTCAGCAGGAAGTATCTCACACGAAATTGACCGCATGGGCGACATGTGTTTGATTGGCCGGAGATTTAAGAGTCGTCAATCTTCGTAGCGTTTCCTTAGGCGTTTTTTCGTTTCGTGACCACGGTAGCGTTTGGTTGGTTAGTTTGGTCCACTTAACGCTCGCAACGCCGCGAGCGTCATTCTATTTTTGTTGCTCGAGGCGTTGCGAGCTTTAAGTGGATCAAACTAACCAACCAAACGCTACTGTGGTCACGAAATGAAAAAACGCCTCTTGTATTCTTCGCATTGAGTCAGACCGATGCGCGAACGTTACGCGTGAAGTTGTACTCGATACGGGAATGAAAATTTCCGAACGACGCTTCTGAAAAATTAATGGAAGGCTTTCGGCTATTACAACCGTGCGATTGATTTCCGATGATAAATTGACGGGAACATTGTCCGCGACATAAAAAGCATCCCGATTGTTCGGGCGTTAGCTTGGTGTGAGAGCAAGAAAGTACTGAGAGGGCGACCGATCAATTGGACGATTAATCGTTCCGGTGCCGCGCATAATTGACCGGCTATCTCGTTCACGACGCCAGGAATTTTCAACCGCCGGTTAGCTGGCTGGGCCGGCCGGCCGGCTGGTTGGTTGGTTGGTTGGCTGGCTGGTTGGTGTGTCGCGCTGGTTGATACGCTCGCGAGCAATTTGACAACGTCGCTAAAGCTTAAACCCCTTTTCTGCCCCAACCCTTTCCAGCCTGCCGGTGCGGTTCTGGTGCCTAGCAACCAGTGAGGTCAACAAACGAGGTCAAATTGAATATTAAACGCACCGCGAGAAAATATCTCGATTGCATTGCTGATGAACGACTACGTTATATGTCTTTAGAGACACAATTGCCGGTCCTTTGAGCGGCTGTAAACTACTGTAAATGCTTGGCGAGAAGCGGAGAAAAGGGGGCGTGTCGCAAAAAGAAGGAAACGAAAAATACCACTCGTAACATATTGATTTTAAAGGGGCGTAGCGAGAAAAGCAGCGTTTTTCTGAATTTTACACTGTACCATATTGTAACTATTAATAACCATTATATATCTTGTTCCAATATAAGAAAACCAACAAGATTTCTTCTTCCTAGTCATGGCGGTGGCTGAAATTTTCGAGAGCGACGAAGGATTCATATCAAAGAGGAGCTCAGATATCAAAGAGGATCGTCATTTCGAGGAAATTCATTTCCCAAGAGATACGAGAGGTTCGAGGTTACGAGTAATTTTTACAATAAAATAACCGGATAGACTCACTGCGCGCTTTGACGGCGTACCTGCGCAGCTATAATCTCGAGAAATGCGAAAGAAAATAAGTGAGGGGAGCACAAGAGGATATAACGGAGAAAGCCATTGTTTGAGAAGGAGCGATGGCAGAGAGAAGAGAGGATGAAGCTGGTGGGGTCGACTGCGGCGAGCCGTGAGTTTACTGGTATGTAAACGTGTAGAAGAGTTCTTCTAGGTAGATGTGGATACAGATATATACTAGGGTAGGGTAGACGCTTGAAGGGAGAAGGAGAGGAGCCAGGCATGAGGACGCAGGAAAGGCGAAGGGGGAAAAAGTGGGTGTAGGTAGGTTTCCTGCGTTGCCAAGCGTCCTCTCTGTCTGCCGAGTCAGCGTTTCTGGCGTTCCAAAACGTTACCGTGTGGGGTGGCGGAGGGCGAGAGCGCTCAGCAACAGCAGCGATCGACTTGACAGCAACAGCGATGCAGAGAACACGCACACACACACACACACACACACACACCTATACACATAGCGAACAAACGGAGAGAGGCAGGCTCAGTGCCAGCGGAAAATTCCAGTTCTATTTCGTCCCACCCCTCTCGCTGAGTTGGAATGAAAGAGGACGGTAGAAGGGGAGGAAGGAAGAGGAGAGTAGAGAGTAAAGCTATTATCTTATACTGCGCTCTCTGCGAACGCATTAACTCACGTCGCGGTTGAGTAATATCGACTCGTATATACGTGGTTATTATATTCGCCCTGGTTGTACAGGGCCACATACGGCTATACGATTCGCATTATGCTGGAACGTTGCTTCTCGCGTGATTATCCCGACAGAGGTTGATGATGCCCGGCTGTGAGACATATCTTATTGCATACGTAGAGCACCGTCGGCGGCCATAAAATTGTAATACGACCTACGCGAGTCATGTGAGGAAAATACTGTTATTCGCTGTGTGTGTGCGCCGTGAGATGTGTTAACATCCATTATTTCGCTATATTAAGAAAAATATTGCGATGATGGCGGGATAGTATAAGTGCAATTATTTCCCGTGTCCTGACAGGGCGGGCCGCAGGAAGCTCGATCGATCTTAGCAAAAGCAGCCAGGCAGACCGGCTGGCTTTTCGGTTCAAGACCTATACGTGGTTGCGAGTTCCGAAGTAATCCTGCGCTTCTTACGTTTACGACCGCGATAATACTCTCTCGATAATAGCGGTCGTACACGTGCATACAGTTTACAGCCCACCGCGATCGTATAAAAAGCCGTCGCGTAAACCTGAACGAGTCGGCGGCTCAGCAACAGCAACTGCAAAGACGCGTCAGAAATTTATGCGTTGAAACAGAACGGGATCGGTGCTTTCACGCCGTAATAAGCTCGAACAGGTTGTGAGGCAACATCTCGTGGCCTCGCTAACGAGGCGCAATCGCGAGAGGGGACTCGCAGCTTTTTTTCATCCCTTTCCTCGTGCCGCTCAGCATCTACCCAAGCGGTGTAACTTGAACAAAACTCATCAGGAGGGAATCGAGCTTAGAAAGTTGTGCGCAACTCGTAGTAAAACTGGGCTCGTGGGAGTAGAGGGAGGGAGAGGCGACGAACGGGGATGTTGGGTCAACGTACGTCACAGCATCTTTCTCTTTCTCTCTTTCTTCCTCTCTACCTTACTCATTCTCACTTCTCTCCTCCTCCCCTCCGCCGTTTCTTCGTCCCACTCCGCGTCGCCAAGTCACTACTATATTGTGATAATCTCGCCTGCTCCATAAAAAGGATTACCCTCTCTGCGCAACTAACGGGGTCATTGCGCATACTAGTACAGAGGTCTGCTAAATCGTAGGACGGGGATTATATACGCAGTAGCGGCGCGCGGTGTAGGACACAGAGTGTGCGAGAAGGATCGATAGTCAAGTATATTCCGCGAATGTGAGAACCGGCAGCCGGGTGCACATATTTGACCCAGCCAACCCAGCCAGCCAACTAGCTAGCTAGCTAGCTTGCAGCTTCACTACGACGACGTCGACGCGCAAACAACGTCGCAGTCACACACACACACACACACACACACACGCGCGCACGCACACGCACGCGCGCATACGAACACGCACACACATACAATTGGCTGATTATTCCGCTCTCATTAATTCTCAGACATTTGCTATTAATATCGCAGGCGACACAAAGTCATGATGCAACCAACGTATACCACGCCGTGCCTCAGTTATGTAAAACGCGATAGGCCAACTATTGTGTACGACTAACGGCTTTTGTACGCGGTCGAGTCGAAGTAGTCTATAGACAAGCGAAGCGTCGTCGTGGCCTTCGGACCCCAACGACATAACTGCTTCGTCGTTTCCTTGACAGATTATATTTAGCGAGCGAGATGACGTCATCGTAACGCACCTTCATTTTTCGTGGGCTGTTTTACAACTGAGATATACAGCGGAAGAGATCTCGCTTCATGCGACGTAGCTTCGAGCATAAGCGGCTCTAGGAATGCAAATGTCCCTTTTCTTACTGGAACAATTGATACGCAAATATGTCGCTTTGCTT